GCGCCGGCTTATTAGAGTCTTAAGAAGTAAGGGACCATCCGACCTAACCATCGACTACATTCAAGCAAAATGCGCATACAATCGTCTAAAAAAGAGCAAACAGAAGGTTTTTAAAGAAAAGCTGCTAAATCGAATAATAGCTGCAAAAACTCCAACAGATTTTTGGGAGTCAATTAACCAATTCCGGCCAAGAAAACAAAATACTAACAACAATATTAAATCGAGCAGGTGGCGACAACATTTCTCCACTCTCTTCAAAAAAGAAGCCGCAGACCCCCAAGATACGACACCCCCTGAAGGTACGGAAAATGCTGAGATGGGTAAAAATATTACGTGCGAAGAGATGATGGCAGCCATACAGAAACTAAAATCCAAGAAGGCCCCAGGACTTGACGGAATTCCGAACGAGGTTCTCAAAATTATAACCATTTCTCACCAACAAGAAATGCTCGACCTCCTCAATCAAATTCTCATTTCTGGTGAAATCCCAAAAATTTTGGCAAAACCCTCATCCAACCCATTTTTAAGAAGGGTGATTCAAACGACCCTGCAAACTTTAGACCAATTTCTCTACTTTCCACCACCCTCAAACTACTAACATCTATAATTGCAAAAAGACTTAGCCAATGGGGAGAAAAGTCTAAGAAGATTTCAGAGTACCAAGCAGGATTCAAAGCAGGCACGGGAACGATGGAGCAAATCTTCATATTAAATACAATAATTCAAAGCAAATTAGCCCTTCCCAATGGAAAATTGTTCGCCGCCTTTGTCGACCTGAAATCGGCTTTTGACTCGCCACCACACGACAAACTCTGGAGAAAGATGGCCCAAATCGGAATGGGAAGAAAAGTACTTCGTTTCCTCCGAAATCTGTACTCTTGTGCTGAAGGCGTCGTTAAAACTGGAGATGGTCTCACCAAACCCAATCGACAAAGGGGTCCTTCAGGGCGACGGGGCCTCCCCTATTACCTTCAATTCCTATATTGACTCTGTCGTCAATGACATGTACAATTCGGATGTGCCTGGAGTCGCAATAGGATCTCGTCTCGTTCATCTCCTGCTTTTTGCAGACGACATCGTTCTGATCGCGAATACAGCGGACCAACTACAGCTAAAAATCAACATCCTTTCAAAATCATTTAAAGAAATGGGGCTAACCGTCAACATCGGCAAAACAAAAGTAGTAGCTTTCTCAAAGAGGAAAATGAAAACTAACCCAAAAATCCTATGGAATGGAGAAGAGTTGGAAGTAGTTGATACATACACTTACCTGGGTGTTATATTCCACAGAAATGGTCACTTTTCTACAGCTAAATCACATTTTACTTCCAAAGCCGCAGCAGCGTCAGCCATAGTGATTGGAATTTGTCAACGCGGAAAAATCCCCCCAATTGCAACAAATAAAAAACTCCAACAATCACTCATCAACTCAGTTTTTCTCTACTGCTCCCCGATTTGGGGACTATCATTAGAAGAAGACCAGCTTGAGCAACCGCAATGTCAATTTTGGAAGCGTCTCCTGCGCCTACCAAAGTCCACCCCAGGATATGTTGTCAGATTGGAGACCGGAAGTCAACATACATCCCTCCTAATGGTGAAAGCAACTCTGCGCCTTATTTGCAAAATACTCCAAAAAGACGACAACACACTACTTGCACAATGTTTAAAGTGGCAGTTGAGATGGGAACCCAGAATCTCATCAGCAAAACGAAGCTGGGCAAAACAACTAAAAAATGGCTTAACCTAACCGAAGACGGTTACCTACTCTCGCAACCCTACGATCAACTCAAAAATGTGTTTCCGGAACAGACGCAACTCATAATCGGCAAACTGACTACATTCCTTCTCAACAAGGACACACTTCGAATGACCGACTCGGCCTGGACACCAGACTACTCAAAAATCAAAACCCACGCCACCACAGAAAAATATTTGCTACAAGACCCTGCCCTTCCAGCGGCCCAGACTTTAGCACAAACTAGAGTCAATCTTCACCGAATAGTATACAAAGATAAGGTAGCCCCCCTCCAAGATAAGGCGGCTTGCCCTTGGTGCTCTCTCGGAAAATCAAGCCTTAACCACTATCTATTCGAATGCAACTCACTCATCGACCCCAGAAAAACTCTACAAAGCAACTTGTCCCCAAACTCACACTCCCAAGATTTCACCCACTTGTACAACAATAACAATAATAACTCAAATTTTTGTAACGCAATTTTCGCCTTCTGGTCAACAGCTTTCAGCAAACTCCCAAAACAAAGTCCTCAACTACCACAAAGCATATAAAAATTCGCAATATGTAATTATTAATGTATGACTATGCAATCTGACGATAATATTTTATTAAGAAGTAAATCTTCCAATTCAACCCGTGCCAAATGGTGCCACGCTTCTCGAGGCAGGCCAGGTTTTATCCCACTGGTTTCCCTGTGCCCACGGGATATTTGTTCTCGTTTTGTCTTATGAAACAATATTGTATTGATGAGGGCTCATGGCCATATCAAATGCTAATAAATTGAATTGAATTGAATTGAAATATTCTTCAAGATGGAATTAGACATGACAAATTTTGAAACATCGGCCTTATTCAAAATTTCGTGTTGAATAAATGTAACTTTGAGCAAAAGCTGGTTTGGAACGGATGCAAGGTCGGCCTCGGTCTGGACAAATTTCAAGGTTAAATTTTCCCTGGATCTGACAATATTTATGATTGGTTCGAAAAAGGAGCATCTTAATAAGTCCCGAGCTACGAATTTATTCATGAAACAGGATTCTGGTCTGAAAGTTACGCCAAGTGCTTGCACAGCAAGCATTCTCTCATATGAACTACTACTCATTTGGTCAGTTTGCTCGAAATGTTCGGAAGTCATTAGCTCGTGCAGGGGTAAACCATCGGACTTCCAGGTTACCTGGCTCTCCCAGCAGGTGAAGCAATACATCGACCAGGTGACACTCGGAGGATTTAGTGGAATAAGGAATAAGGGGTACCTTAATCAGAATAAGAGGCACATTAATCCACCATTTTACCGGTGAATCTTCATCCACATCTGGGTCTGGATTATGTCCAAAGTTTTCAAAGGTGCGGATTCTTGGACTAACGAGACAAACCAGGATTTCGTTAGGAAATTGAACCCAGACTTTTGTACCACACTAAAAAATTCGGCCCGTTTTAGAAAAACTAAGACGTGTAGGTAACACTGGGCATGGTATCGATTAGTGAAACGAATTTGCTTCAAGTTATGATCGTCTTTAAAATTGTGATCATCCGTACCAAGGGAAACATTTACACGTCCGATTAAGTTAATTCCCGATTCGAAATACTGTGCCAAAATTGGAGGAATATTATTATGCACATGAAAATTATGATCACTTTGTGGCAGGACGAAACGTACAGTGCAAAAGTTCTGGAATTTTTCAGGTTCCGCAATACATTGGGAAAAAGTTAAGGTCAAAATTAAAATATATTTTGAATGAAGAAGGAAACTCGTCGTTTTATGATTTTAATGAAAAATTGTTCCAATCATTGTGAAATGTGATTGGAAAATTATAAAGAAAATATTGGCTAAAATTAACGAATAATTAAAATTTGTGTAGAGAAAGCTAAAATTTTAATTTATTCAACTACATACATATGTAAATTTTCAAGGTATGTATGTAGCTCGATCTGAGAACTTTACGTAGAACTTAGAAGGAAGCTGGCTTTTCTTGTGACAAAATTTGCATTTATTTAAGTAAAGTACTTAAATAGAACTTAAGTAGAATACATACATATGCATAAATCCTATCCTTTTCTAATTCCATGGAAAACGATTGTCCTTGTTTCCCAGTAAGATTAATTATATATTTATGCTATCATACCCGATTTGAAATGTCAAGTATGTAGCTAAATACATATTTACATATTTAAGTGGTGTAATACATAAGCCAGTTAAATCCTTCCATCCCGAATTCAAGGCAATCGTAAACGAATTGGATTTCATCCACTTACTTGCACGGACAAATTTATTTCTACTTTGTGTTTATAGGAATGACCTTTTCCACAGGATATGGCATGACTGGTTATAATTATTACTTGAAATTCAAAATTAATGACAGGATTATGTTTATAGGCCGAAAATATGTAGGTGATAGCGATGAAAATTAACTATTTAGAAATAAATTTTGACGCGAACTTAACCTTTAATTTTTGAATTTCAAGTCCATTACATACACAATTTTACGTAATTTACATATTTGATCGTTTTACAAGAGAATGCCCTATAGAGAAAAACGCATCCATCCACCAGGGGGAGGTTGAGAGCATATTAAATGATTAAAAGCCGAGTATATAACCAACCTTAACTTGAACTACATACTCTTCGACAACTGGTATTGAATCATTACTGGCCTGTGTACATAAATATATGACTCTCCCGGCATCATTAATATCGATTATTATGGCGTCGTAATGTTGGTAATGAAATCTTTAACACTCGGAATCAAACTATGTACATATGTATACCCAATCCCGGAGGGAATTATTTTAAGACACGTTTCTAGATTTTTTATAAATACATAAAAATGTTAATATATATTTCGAATTTTTTTAAATTTAAATATATTAAAACATTTCAAAGTTATCTATGTTGCAATATGTTGTCTTCATGATAATTTAAGGTCCAAAATCGCCGCGACAGATTGATGGACGGACGGACAAAACGATAACATAAATTCCTCCAAATCAGTTCGATCCGCTCGCTACTTCCCACTTGTAAACCTGTCTAAATACAAATTACAAAAAAACACGTAAAATTTTCAAAATAAATATTTCAAAATACTAAGATTTTAGGACGTCCCATTTTATGTAAATCATCCATTACCTGATAACTTTCACATTTCCTTTAACCTTCAAATCCTCAAATTCCACATAATCTGGGACAATAACCAGTCTCAGGGCAGGGGCCGAATTCACCAAAAGTTGCGTCAACTCGCGTAATCTCACGACACCCTCGTTTCTCCTTTTACTCGTCTCAATGTGCAATTCGACCAAATTGGGTCGAACCGGAAGTCGACCCCAGGCCAGGGACGTCTCCTCCCCTCGCTCAGAAGGAGTCAATGTCCATTCCATGATCCGCAAATTCTTCAAGTTTGGACAGCACCTGGATAGCAATTCGTACAAGATGGGCAGCATGGACGCCCTTACGAGTACCACAAGCGTTTGGATCATATCGCCAAATTTTTCGCAAAGGTGGGACAACCGTACCTGTTCAAGTTCATTGATGTGAATTATTATGGTAATAAATGTTGATGAATGAAAATGAATTTCCCGCCATTTGATTGAACCTGATTGAAAAATTCCGTCATTTCAGATGAATGAATGGATTTTTCACTCCCTCCATTCTTCCCTCTATGCTTAATATATGGGGCGAAGTAAGAAATGAAGTCTGATGAAGTGAAATGAAATGAATTTGAACTAAAATAACTGAATGCTAATAAAAATCTTCAGTCAAGCATCGGGATGACTAACTTTTGAACGAAAACTGAATTTTTGAACAGGTAGATATGCACAACCGTACCATTAAGGACTTGAAGTGTTGATCTCGCTCTTTTCGAAAGTCGGGCACATATACGCAAAAATATCTGCTCCATAGCTGCACATGCGTCGCAAGTCGTGGGTCCATTGTCATTATGAAACGTTGAAAGGTCAAAGGGTCACAACAAAGGTCGTGATTTTGGAAGCAGTAGCGATACAATTTTAAGACCAGTTTGGGCCGTGAAGAGGAGAGAATTCGATCATTCCAGGTTTTGCAAACGAGCCGTAAAGTTGGACCGAGCTTGGGGAGGAAGGTTCGAATTTTGTCGAAAATCTGGGGATTAAAATTTTGTGAAGTTAAATTAATTAGAGCGATGAATGATGTATATGTACATATTTTCTTACGAGCTGATTTGCAAACGCGAGGTTTACGGGATCCATTTCTTCAGCTTGGTTCATTATTGATTGTGCACACTCTAATTACATTTTATTATAGTGTAAATACTCAAGAAGGTTAAGTAAACAACTTGTGAGGGAAGACGACCTGGTTTGAAATAAAAAAGCTTGGTTTTTAATCGGCTAATTTTTAATTGGTAATTACCAATTCAAGTATTCAATTCAATTATTTGAAAATCAAGTACCAATTCAATTATTAGAAAATTATTTGTTATTATGTATGTGTATGTATGTATGTATGTATGTACGGTTTCCAGGCATAAAACTGACTGCACCTTGTTGGTTGAATTTACATATTTTCAAGGGATAAAAACTGACCCCAAAAACTAATCCTGTGGGGGGTACCATGGTCTATACACATTTGCCTAAAAAGTAGACCCTTCGGATACAAAAATAGTATGATTATAAAGTAGGTACGTACAAACGTTGGGTCCCTTTACATAAAGTACCTTTGCATAACCTACAACCATACATATGTAACAAGCCTTTTCAAATCAATGAATATTGCGAAATATTATTTTTTCAGTTGAAATCCATGTAAAGGCTCAGTCTGATTGATTTTTATTAAAAACCGAATGGATTTGGTACTAGACTTGGGCAATTTTGAAATGTATATTTATGCAAAGAGTAATAATTATGTAAAATGGTAGTTATGTATGCAACAGGAATTATGCAAAGCGACCGAAGGCCCTTTTGGGTTGGTGGGTTGAAGAGAATCCATTTTAAGTCACTGCCCCCCGTGGCAATTGTGTATGCCCATACAGGTTTAAAGGCTCTATTATACATAAATATATTGCAGGGTTTCGGCACACTGACAAGTACATAAACTCGGAAAGGGGGCCGTCCATAAATTACATAACGCTAAATTGCCCAGGGTAGTCTAAGGCTTCAATTATATCTTGCCAATGTTCCACGTGTTAAAGGGGTGACGGGGGTCTAGAAAATAGCGATTTTTGCATTACGTAGGTTATGGACGGCCTCCAAGGTGCTCACGACCTTTCTGATTCTTGGAATAAACTTCTACATAATTGAACTACGGTTAGGGTGTTTGTCCAAACGAATGAATTTCTCAAACCCGAAAGCAAACTTATGGACCCTTAATTAAGAAATGTTTAACTGATAATACTTTAATACTACCTCACACCGGTTTAAATGTTTTTTGTTATAAAAATACCTCTTTCCCTCATAACATAACAAAGTATTTCGTAGTCCATTCGTAAGTACTCGATTTTTTCAGATCGCTTCAAAATTTTAAATTTCATGTATTAACTCCTACTTATACAATTTTATCGATTGTTAATCAACCAACCACAGATGCTTTGGAAGCTTTTGCTTATCTACCGTAGTAAATCTGCGTTTCACTCAAAACACCTTTTATCTGTTATGATCAACTTAGATTTCATTGTGATAAGGTATTCGGGAAGTACATACATATTAATTGTGGTCGAAAAAACTGTTAAATTATGCTCCTAGCCTAATAAAATCAAATACTGACGGAGTTAACTTCGCTGTAAATATTTCCTTTTAACTGACAACTCATATGAAAATGAAGGGTAAATGAATAAGATTTTGGTCCACACCAAATTTTAATATTGACATGTAAATGGAGGGCTCACTTTTACATATATGCAATTTGAGATTTTAGTTTGTATTTATGAAAAATACATAAATATGTACGTAAATAAATCGGTCCAACACGAAATCCGATTTTGTTTAACAAGGAAACATACCGAGGTGTCCAATGAGTTAAGGGTCGACACCTATACCAAAATGACCACAATACATGGCTTATTAAACAAACTGAAGGAATTTCCGTGTAAAATTCACTTTTCGTCAAGTTGTGACCATATTTGTGACGAGCGCATGACCATCGGGTTGCCAGCGGGAGAGGTCGGCTGCTGAACGATCAGGTCGAACACAGAAGCGTCGTCGTCTTCAGAGATTTCAAATTCTATCAAATTTTGAAAACTACTTGAAATTTTGAAAAAAAAATTGGAATTTCTTCAAAATTTCAAAAATTTCTTCAAAATTTCAAAAATTTCTTCAAAATTTCAAAAATTTCTTCAAAATTTCAAAAATTTCTTCAAAAATTTTAAAAATTTCTTCAAAATTTCAAAAATTTCTTCAAAATTTCAAAAATTTTCTCAAAATTTCAAAATTTTCTCAAAATTGCAAAATTTTTTCAAAATTTCAAGATGTTTTCAAAATTTGAAAGAATTTAAAATCTCTGAAGACGACGACGCTTCTGTGTTCGACCTGATCGTTCAGCGGCCGACCTCTCCCGCTGGCAACCCGATGGTCATGCGCTCGTCACAAATATCGTCACAACTTGACGAAAAGTGAATTTTACACGGAAATTCCTTCAGTTTGTTTAATAAGTCATGTATTGTGGTCATTTTGGTATAGGTGTCGACCCTGAACTCGTTGGACACCTCGGTATGTTCCCTTGTAAGATTAACTCGGAAAGCCCTGCATTCATGAGAGAAGAATTATACTGGATTAATCCAGTTTAATTCTTCTCCAGAATAATAATTATTATTCAAACATTTGGAATTTGATACATACATGGCATGGCACTCCAAATCGAATATGTATGTATGATACCACTAATAATTAATCTTACAGGAACAAGAACGCAATCATTTCCAAGGAAATTAGATACTGACATGATTTATTTTATACATACTTTCTTACATATATGTATAAATACTTAAATACCTATTGCATTTATATGTAACATACATATGTACACAGTGGCGGCGGAAGATGATGTAGTCGTGGGGTACTGTAGCTCTAACCATGGAGGTCTCCCAACGTATGCGCACAGATTTGGACCAAACTAGCGTCAATCAATCACAAATATAATTAGCATGAAATTTGCAAATGACACTATCTGCCAATGCTCAAGTTTGGCGGAGATATTTGCATAAAAAGAGGAGAAAATGATGTGAAGCAAGTTCAAGTTGTTGATTTAGGAATTTCGGATCATAGTTTCTGCTTGTGTGTTACTCAAACTTATGCTAATATTCCAGCCCCAAAGTTAATACAACGGCGTAATTTTAGTAACATTAATTACAATATGTTTGTCCCAGAAATTGTTCATATATTAGAAAGTATGTCTTATGATGGAAATGTGAATATGCAATGTCACAAATTGATTAATACTGTTATTTCTTCCTTTAATAGACATGCTCCAATTGAAATAGTTAAACGTACGAAAGGGCTGAAAATCAAGTTTGTATCTTCGCACACCAAACAACTTATCACTCAACGCGACCACTATTTTAAATTATGGAAAACTTCACATGCTGTATACAACTTTCGTGAGTATAAATTGTTAAACCAATTAGTTAGAAAGTCTCTACAACACGATATGTTTAATCATACGCAACACATGGTCAATAAAAGTGGTCCGTGGGAAACTATAAAGACATTTGGCCTAAGTTTTGGTAAAAATCAAGGTGACATTAATGACAAGGTTAGTCTAGATGAGGTTAACAATTTTTTTGTGAATATGGGGTTTGCGGATGGAGTGATGCCTTATGACACATTATGCAATGGTATTCTGAATGATGTTGACAAGTCGGGAAAATTTTATGTAGACAATGTTACAATGTCAGAATTACTTAGTGCGTGGAAACAGTTGAAACACAAAGACTCCAAATCTCCTGATACTATAGGAATATCAAAGCAAATGTTAAAATTAATTGTACCCATTCCAGTTGTGCGTGAATCTATTCTGTCTATGTTTAATGCATCATTTTCTTCTGGAATTGTCCCTGTACAACTGAAACGCTCTAAAGTAATAATATTACCTAAAGTTTGTAATGCCTCCAAACCCGATGAATTCAGACCAATTTCCCTTAACCCAAATTTACTGCTTTGGATGGAAAAAATTTATAGTAATAGGCTGGACAAATATATTAATGATAATAACATAATTAATATTTGGTTTTAGGAAGCACCACAGCACAGAACATATGATCATCGGGCTAACTGATTTTATAAGGAGAAATGTCGATAAGGGTATGGTATGTGCTGTTGTGTCGACAGATTTTCAGAAAGCTTTTGATTCAATTCCTAGAGCGTTATTGTTAGACAAATTGTGTAAACTTCATAATATTTCGCCTCATTGGTTGAAGAGTTACTTGTCTGATCGTGAACAATTTATATCCACGCCCATGTCCAATTCCAAAATATTGAGAACTTTGGCTGGTGTGCCTGCTGGTAGTGTAATTGGTCCAAAATTGTTTATTCTATTCTTAAGTGACATGGGAAAAGGTCTCAAAAATGGTAACTTGGCTTGTTTTGCAGACGATTCATATGTATATTTCTTTGGTTATGCTAATAATCTCCAATTTCTTCAAGATATTATAAACTCTGATATGGTATATGTGGTACGATATGTGAAGGATAATGGTATGTCGATGCATAAAGATAAAACCAAGTTATTGTTAATTGGTAGCAAAAATAATGTTACTCTTTCACATAATTTTAATTTTAATATTACTGTCAATAATATCGTAATCACCCCCACTGACAGATTGAAATGTGTTGGTATAGTACTCGATAATAACTTAAATTATGTGCACCATATTAATTACATTGCAAAGCGTGCATATTATAGAATAAGATGCTTGTACACCGTTAAGCAGTATTTTACTACCTCCTCATTGACCTCTATTGGTGTTGCTATTGTGTTGTCCATCCTTAATTACATGTCATCTATTTGGAGTGCCACGTGTGCAAAGAATTTACGTATTATAGAAAATGTTATTCGATGTTTGGCCAGATTAGTTCTAAAATGTAAAAAATTTGATCCAATTGCAGATTTGATAAAATGTGACTTGAAATGGCTATTTCCTCGTGATATGGGTGAATTCAGGACACTATGTATTATGTACAAATTGTTAAAATTTAATATGGTACCATTTTTTAATGACTATTTTGTACGTGCAAATTGTATTCATGAGCATAACACTAGATTATGTAATAATTTTAGGAGCACTGTAAAGCCGAAGACGGAGTTTGTTAAAAAATCCTTCCACTTTAGGGCTATTGGTTTATGGAATGACTTACCTGAAAATCTTAAGGCTGAACAATCTTATGATACATTCAAAACTAAACTGAAAAACTATATGTTACTTAATCTGAGTTACCCGTTTTACTGACTATATAGTTTCACCTGAATTTTCTTACAAACTTGTTTTATGAATTTTTGTGTAATTGATTTTTAATATGATTTTATGACTATAATTAAGACATTCATGTATTTCCTGATCTTCAGGGTATGAATGATCTTCTCGAAATGTATTTCTACCAAATATGAAGTGAATAAACTATTATTATTATTTGTGATTGATTGACGCTAGTTTGGTCCAAATCTGTGAGAATACGTTGGGAGACCTCCAGTGTAAGATACAAGTTGGCAAGACTTACATACAGATGTATTAACATTGACGAAATGTTAATGTCCCCACGATGAGTTGTGTGTCTTCCTCTTCTACTGTAAATATCTATGCATAAGTACTTTAGTTTAGTCCCTGCAAATTTTGTCGAAACAAAAACAAGTTGTTTGTCCATTACACATACGTGCGGTTAACACATCTACCGATTTATATATCTTGTTAAACTATGTATTTACATATTTAATTGTACATATATTTATCGCATTCAGCATTTTTATATATTTTTACTCGTACACATATGTATTAATTCGTCAATTTTGTTCAAAATTTCCTTTTTTAATTCCTCGTTTGCACTCAATTTGTCCAGATTCACGAACATTTTCATTCGTATAAAACGATGAGTTTCTTCTTCTATCAAAAATATATCTTCATTTTAAGTTTAACGATCCCAAAATGCATCGCAAAATCTGAAAAATTCAATACCTTTTGCTCAGTACGATTCATCCTGCCGCAAGCTGATCATCATAATTTTCACCTGCATCATAATATTCCTCCAATTTTAGCAGAAGATTTCGAATGGGCAATTAACTTATTAGGACAGGTAAATATTTCACTTGATTCGGAAGATCACAATTTTAAAGACGAGGTGGATGGGGGTGGGGGTGGATGAGGGTGGAGGTAGGGGTGGATTTGATGGGGGTGGGGGTGGGGGTGGAATTATAAATGCCGTCGAGCAAGGTATTTCACAGGTGGACACTCTCCTCCGGGCAGAAGGATACAGGTAAGCCGAAACCATAATTTTCCAGCTAAAGCCGAGATTAAATTTTGCGCCAGTTGGTGAAGTGACTTTAAGATCAACGCATCTTCAACTCTTTTACAACTTACCGGCAACAATACTGAAATTGCTTAAATTTCACTACAAACTGTGTTCCAAATGACAATGTCTCTACAAATCGATTGTAACATGTTACTTAATTTTATCTTCCACATTTTTGGTGAATTATTTCATCTGCAAAATCCGTCATGAGTACTATACTTAAGAACGTTACAATTTCAATAAATACAATTAGGGGTTCCAGTCCCGGGATTTTTCGGGATTTTATTCCCGGGAATTCCCGGGAAACGGGATCCCGAAATCCCGGAATTTGAAGAACTGAAATCCCGGGATTTCGGAATTTTTCAATTTGTCATTCAGAATTGAAAATTACTTATAATTCATTATTTTAATAGCGGTTTTACATAATTTTAGGTTATATGATTAGTAAGAAAAAGTTTCGATGAGCACAACCAGGCAAGATTGATCCTGAACTCGAAAATTTAAATTTTAAGCAATATTAGTGGCCACATCTAACTCGTACATTTATCTAAATTTCAAAATCTGCAAGTAACATTTGTAATACAAGATGAAACCATAAATTTTCTAATCTCGATGTCAGATTATAACTTGAAGGAACAAATAAACCTTACTTTCGGTATAATTATAGAATCTGAAATCAGTTATGATCAAAAATGCTATCATGTTAGAAGTAATATAAGGCTGCATGAAGGGCATTTTGAACGCGGTACATATACTTATTTAAATTTGAAATTTTTGAATTGCCAACTTCCTTGTCCAATTGAAGTTTTTGAATATTAATTTTAATGCAATTTAGGCCAATTAATATTGATATTTGATAAACGTGAATTTATGCATTTCGGGTTAACACGCTGGCAAATCCTTGATTAATTAGTTAAGTTTTCTGGAATGAAATTATCGAACTCTTTCCTCACAGCTCTCCAAAATAGTGAACGGAAATTGGGCTTCCACAATACATCGAATCTTTAAATTTGCCATGGCAGGCAAAACAATATAATCACTAATTTGTATTTCTATCGTACATATGTATGTATTTTAAAAATACTATTTTGTGTAGGCCAGAAAATAGCGTACTGTATGTATACTAGTACTTATGCAGGCACAGATCCCAAAAACACAGAAGTAGGTATTATAAATATGCCCAGTCTCGGTACTTTTTAGAGCCATGTACCTTTTTGTATACCCGAATTTGACTAATTTCAAGTTATAAGGTTATATTTAAATTTCGGGAAAAATTCCCGGGATTTCCCGGGATTTTTCACGGCTAAAACCGGGATTCCCGATTCCCGGGATTTAAAAAATCGTCCGGGATTGGGATCCCTAAATACAATGTCGTATTTTACAAATAGCAGTAAACGTTTTTCTAACTTGTTAAAAAATCGGTAAATTTTGTCACGAAATATGTAGCACATGAAATTTTCGTTTGCTATTTATTATACATATGGTCATCGATATAGTTAATAAATATTTTTTATGTATGCGCCCACTATTTTCTGCAATAATTCTGACATCATTGTTTCAATCTGTCCAGGATTCTACTGGACAGCGACGAGGAAACCATGGTTTTCTACCTTCTACAGAGAGCAATCGAGTCCAAGTTGAAAAACGGGTATAAATTAACGCCCGACCTTAACACTGTACAACGAAACCTTAGCCATCGTTTCACCCAGGAAATGTTTAACGTCATGGTGGAAACTAAAAGCTGCGTGACCGTGGCGGGAACATCATTTGCATACAGAAAAATCGACAACGACCAATTCACAGCTTTAGGGGTGAAATGCTTCTTCTTACCGAAGCAGGAATCCGTAATGATAAATGTTTTCTCAGCGTTTAAATATTTTCGGGCCGATGTGGTCGCCGAAATTATGCAGCGTATCGACGAGGCGGGAATTATAGTGAGGTGGCTTGCTTTAGAAAGTTATGCAAAAATGTTTATGTTATATGTCACGCAAAAGGCGGAATTTGATGAGGTCGATGAGTTTCATAAATTGGATTTGGCATCTCATCTGCAAATATTATTTTACTTGTGGATGATTGCCCTGATGTTTGCGGGATTTTGTTTTATTTCCGGGTTTGCGTCGGTTGTGGGAGGCTGCGTAAAATCATGGTATCAAAAATGCATAAAATTTTTTGGAAGACCTTGGCGGAAACACTTTCGGCGAAAACCGTTCACGAGAAAGTAATCCATTTTTGCTTTATAATAAAAATAATCTACTCGTCTTAGAGAACCTTACGGCAAATATTTTCATTAAGTAGTTTAAAAAAAAAATGAGGATTATGTTCGTTGGAGTTGTATATCTCCATTACTCTAATTGGAAGTCATCATTATACTCGATAACTTGTTAATATAATTGTGTACATCAGTGAATGTATGTAATAAAACTTAAATTCAATTTCATTAAGTTTCTAGTTTGAAAAGACTTGTAACGCTAAATATGTATGTACTGGAAATGGAAGACTAGCCCTAGAAACTAGAAATGTACGTATATACTAAATATGCTCTATTCATTGTTTGCATAACAAAATTTTAATATTTCTGTTCCTCAATAGTAATTTGAGAGGATCAAGAAATACCAGATTGGTTGGATTGTTATTTATGTATGTATCATTATTTAGTTCAATTCAGTGCGAGTGCGAAACCGGAAAAGAATACGCAGACTTGGAAATTTAGACCAGTATTTAACGCGAATGACTCGTTAATGTTTTCCAAGTATTTAAATATGTACGTACTTAATTATGCCAACAAAGGATCAGTTATCGCTACTTGGAATGTATGTACCTAAAAATGACGGAATGGTACAATGTTGATACATACGTTTGCTTCTCATGAATTTAGTGTAATTAAATGCGACTGTGCACACACAATGTACAGTCGAATTTATGCACGGGGTGACATCCTTATGCTTCATCCCAGACAATAATTTAACGGGTTATTTAATCTGCAAAAAAATATTGCGAGGAATTAAATGACATCATTTGACTGAACATACATACATACAAAATTCTTCATTTACATAATAAGCCTCATACACATGTACATGTTTCGATTCAAATGCAATAAACACATTCCAAGAATAAGTATGACAGTGTTTACTCAGTAAAATTTATTTATAATTAAATTCACCCATTAATTTATTGTCCAGATGTTTTTCCCCATTAAAATACAGTCTTCGCCCATTTTATGCAAATCTCATGAACTCTCTGGTCGTCATTCGTGCCAATATAAAATGGAATTGGATCATTCCTCGACAAGTTCATAATTAATTAAATCCTTAACTCGAGTGCAATATTAGGGTGATCTCAAATTATAAAATTAAAAGAGTTAAAGCTGAGCAAAAGAAATATTTACAGTAAAATGTGGGTAGTTTTAACAGCACTATTATTTCTTGGGAGTAAGACTGGTATGTAACGGAATTTTCGTAAAATTACATCAACCAGTAAACTCTTGAAAACAGTGCTACCATTTTGAATGTACTCTAAATTCAACATTTTTGAAGCAATCTAATTAAATCCATAAGAACGTTAATTGGATTAAGAGTAACGTAAAAACACTCTGGATATTGTACAGGGTGGTTGAAACGTCGCGCTAAAATGGAAGATTTTTCGATGGAAAAATTCGTAGATTTCCCTTAGTTACAGAAATTTTGTCCCTAAAATTCAGAATTATAAGAATTTGGTTTTCAGTTTTTGATCATAATTATACAAATCTCAATTCAAAATCTAGTGACTAGAGAATTAGGGACTTTTCCCATCGACAAATTTTCCATTGTAGGGTGACATTTTCAGTATCAAAGTCCGAGTAAACCGATTTAATTTTCGGAAACTTATCACAATTTTTAATAGTGCATATGAAAATCCGCACACAAACATGTTGAAATTCGATCGGAAACATTCCGCAACATTTTCGGCGGATAAATTAATACACAAAAATTCTTGGAAAACGTGTTAATGAATTTTTTTGCGCTGATTTTTGAAATTTGACGAGCGTCAAACATATGTAATATGTATTTCATCATTTTTAGCGTACGGTTGTACTGACGGTGAGTATGCGCCACACCCGTCCGACTGTAACAAGTACTTGGTGTGCAATCATGGCGCCTGGGTCGAGATGTCGTGTGGTTCCGGACTTTACTGGAATGCTCAAGGAAAATATTGCGATTGGCCGGCAAGTTCTGGTTGTACGTCGGGAGGGGGTCAAACAACGACTACGCAACGACCAACCTCGACAACTACGCAGCGACTAACATCCACCACCACAAATACGGGACCCACCACCACGACAACTTATCGACCACCGGGTCCGTCTGGGAAAAAATTAATTTGCTACTTTACAGGTATGAAATTGCAATTAATTATAATTTATTTTGTAATTATGCATCTGTTTAAAATTTGTTGATCCCATGTGAAAAACGAGCTACGAATGTATTACAAAATTACAAATTTTGCAGAAACTTGAATATTCTGCAGCAAATATTTCACCCACAAATCTCAAAACTTGCAAAAATGCATCCCCTTATGGAACTGATTTAGGTATTGCGCGAAGTTTCCAGGATGTTCTGCATCAATCAGGTCGATCAATCTGCAGAAACACGGCATGTAAAATAGTTTTTGGACAAATTACGCAAAATTATCTAGAATCTTGCACAAACGCTCTTGCAGAATAGATGGGCCCGACAAATATTTTCTGTACAGTCATGCGGTTTTCTCAACCAGAAATTATTGCCAGAATTTTGCCCACAATTTTCAAACGAGACCTCGTATTTACTAAAATTGGTCATTTTTTTGCAGCTCATTTTTCGCATGGGATTTAACTTTTGAAATTTATCTATGTACCCAGATTGGGCTTGGTACCGCACCGCTGCCGGAAAATATTCCCCTGACGACATTGACCCCACCCTTTGCACACATATCGTCTACTCCTTCATTCTCCTGGACGCGTCCACTTCGCAGGTCAAAATTGCCGACAGCTGGGCTGACGTGGATAACAAATTTTACGAAAAAGTGACCGCCTTAAGGAGACAAGGCGTCCATGTGACCATAGCCGTCGGTGGGTGGACGGATTCCGAAGGAAATAAATATTCGCAGATGATGAATGATCCCGGAAAGAGGGGGACTTTTGTCAGGAGTGTGGTCGATTTTGTGAAAAAGTGGAATTTCGAGGGGGTCGATCTGGACCTTGAGTATCCCGCTTGGTAAGCGCTTTTAAAAATAGTGGTGCCTTTTTGAAAATTAAATGCGTTCTAAATTAAACATTGAGTAAACTGCGCAAAATGCAGAGTAAACTTTACGAGATATCGAGCTAACGTCACTCTCATTTTAGCGAAGTTAGCCTAACGGGTAGATTGCGGATTATGGTTTGTATACTAAATGTTCACACAAATGCTCAATTTAGCATAAGGGCAAATTAGAAACTTATCCTTTAAGTGAGAATTTAGTATAAAACCTCTTAATTAGCATTCCCCCTAATAATATCAAAGGGGAAACGTTATTTTTAGGTCTTAATGAGCTTTGAAGTTACAAAATTAAGGATTTTATTTATTAGCTGGCAAGGAAATTGTGATGGTGGACCGGCCTCAGATAAGCAAGGATTTTCCGCATTGGTGACCGAACTGCGACAAGCTCTTCCCGCCGGATCAATCCTTTCGGCCGCGGTTTCCGCCAGTAAAGGGATCATACCAAAAGGTTGTAAAGCGCTAAATTTAAAATTCTACCTCAAAAGTATTCTAATTTTAAATAGTAAAGGAAATTTATCGGGTTTCTTAATCGCAGCGTACGATGTTCCTTTATTGTCCGCCAAACTGGACTGGATAGGAGTCATGGATTACGATTTTCACGGCCCGTGGGATGGCATGACTGGTCACATTGCGCCACTGTATTATAAATCCGGCGATAAGGTTGACTACTTTAATGTCGACAGTTCCATCGAAGTCTGGACTTCGCTGGGTGCCGATCCCGCCAAACTCATAGTTGGTGTGCCCACCTATGGGAAAAGCTTTACTTTGAGCAATTCAGCCAATAATGGGCTTAACGCACCGACATCAGGTAATAAGAATTATAATAACGGGGAGATTGCGAATTATAGTATATGTTATATTTTCACTTAAACTCTAAATTTTTCAATATTTTGAACGATGGACCTCTTAATTCGCAATCCCTCTAATACTTGATAGATTATGAAGAGTTCAGTTAGGCGAACAGTGTTAAAAATCCGAAAGAATCACAAATATGTTAATACTCGAGATTGGTACTAATTTGGTAGTAATTTCCCACCGGGTTGGTAGCAGTTTATTTCTGAGTGGTAAATTCTTAACTATCACAAGATCAGTAAATGTTAATGCTCGCTAGAATGCCAGTAATTGCATGTATGCTCCGGACAGTGTTGATTTAGTACTCGCTTTCTAAGAGTGTGCATTACGCAGGTGCTGGAAACTCTGGGCGCTACACGAATGCCGCTGGAACGCTGGCATACTATGAAATCTGTGCAAATAGTGGATGGACGGTTGTGCAAGATTCTGAAGGAAAAATGGGGCCGTATGCATACTCCGGAAATCAATGGGTTTCCTACGACGATCCCGCATTTGCAAGAAAGAAGGTTGCCTATCTCAAGAGCAAAGGATTGGGGGGAGCAATGGTAAATTGAAAATAATTAAAATAATTCATGATTTTTATAGCTTGATAAACATTTTATAAATTGTGACACAAGGTTTGGTCCCTGGACTTTGATGATTTCAATAATCAATGTGGCGGTGGACGATATCCGGTCATAAATGCCCTCAAGCAGGCCCTAAATAGCTGATTTTTTTTCTGTTACGTTACATATGATTTATTACTTGATCAATAAAATGTATGCCTTGAATGTAGTTATCTATAATTTCCTAAGCTAATTCAGACACTTGCCTTTACAAAAAAATTGAAGCTTGACCTACCAAATAGAATATGTATTTGAAAATTAAATTTTAAACCAATTCAATAACTAGACGAAAGGGTAAAGTTAGTAATTAATATTCCTATTTAGTAAAATCTCATACATAAATAGTTATTAAAATTAATCCCATTATTACTCAAAATTTATTGAACCGAAGGAAGACATGCACATGCAAACTCAGCGACTGTAAATTTACAAAATATGTATGTATTTACATATTTATGAAAGACCCACGCACTGTTAAAAATGTACTGAAGTCACATATATCTGTATTTACACCCCGTTGATAGGTACATACATATGTACATACATACATAGTTTGGCTTTGATTGCGCGGTATGTTTTCATCACCACAACAGTGTATTCCTAATGCCCTACGGGAATGCACGTTGTTACCGTGCTGGTGAAGTCATACATATATGTACTCCATTTCGATTCAATGACATTTTTTTAAGAGTGTAGACACTGAAATTAAGTTGGTTGCTAAGTAATTTTGAATTTCAGATATGCAGGGACAGTTTTTATCATACGGATAAATATATTTCATATCGTTTATATATTTTGTAATGAAGTACATAAAATGGTAAAGTATTCTCTTAAATTATTTTCAATTCTATATTGTAGGATTGACAGATATCTAGATGCGTTTGCCAAACATTTATTTATTTCCAGTTATCATATAAAAATAAAATATTGCGTATTAACTTGATCAGATTTCGCATTACAAACTTAGCATTATGTAACAATGTGAAATTTTAGAGGCATGAAACTTTCGTGATGAAACTTTTACAAGGCTTTATATTTACATACATACATGCGTACACCAGTAAAACTTGTTTCTGCTCGCTGGAATGAATACATTTCTATTTTGCAACCATTGCAAATTGCATTCCAGAATTTTCCATTCATTTACATACATACGCAAGACAACGTTCTCTGATAAGTGCAATGTGCACAATATTTGCATACGAATCACAAACATCCCAATTTAGCTCAATTTTGTGTGTTGAGGATACATACATACGTATTTAGAAGGGACTTATAATCATACATATATATGGTTTATCACCCATGAGTGAAGTAATGTAAGCGCACAATATAGGAAGGCATATATGTACATGCTTTGTGATGGGTGTGAGAGTAGATCTTTTACCTCCAGATCACTTCATTGGATGAGCTTCACCATGTGCAAGGTTCATGCGAGTGCTTTAGCATTGACAGAGTTGGCGAATTTCTGCCAAGTCATTCCAGGTATTTTTATTTACCTATAGCTTGGGTGGTGGTGGTATTGCGCGAAAAAATATCGGGAACCGTTTAATGTTCTTTGTGTTCGTACTCGACGTGAACATAATGTAAAATTTTACCCGTCAGACAATATAAACTGTTCCTTTCTTCGCAAAAATACTGCAAATTATAAAATATTTCAGTACATTTCTATCCTGTGGATCACGGTGTAGATCAGAGTGGATAAAAGTTCATCACAGGTTTTTGTAGCTTGATTTCATATGTATGTAAAAAAAATTGGCTGACGGAAACTAAGTAATAGCGAATTTAGTACATACATATGTACTAAATTTATTTGTTAATAAATTTTTTACGACAAAGTAATTGGTAGTGGAATTAACCGATTTAAAAAAAATGATAAAACTAAAAACCTTGGAATTTTACGGGATAAGAAGCTTCAGCAGTCTTGGGGATGATAATAAATTAATGCATAAAATTAATTTCCACGATAATTTAACCATATTGCAAGGACATAATGGAAGCGGTAAAACCGTAAGTTTTCAGCAATAATTGTTGATTTTTTCAATAATGGCAAGAAATTTCAGTAATAATTATGCACTAATTATGACAGACTCTCATTGAAGTTATTGGGTTCGCACTGACAGGAAATGTTCCTTTTAGTCCCGGGAAAGAACACAGTAAGTTTTTCAGATTCCGCTTTACAGATTTTACCACTTATTTACATATAATTTATTTCTAGTGAAGTCATTCTTATCTACAAACCAAGAAGACAGCCAGGTAGATAATAAAATAATATACGACTTTATTAAATAATGATCCGGCTTTAATATTCATATGTCATTTTCCATTTTTAGTCTGACTCTCCTTCCGCATATATTCTACTGAGATTGGAGAAAGGTGACAATCCGTTTGACATTGAATGGAAACTTTACAGCAACGGAAAGAAAAGTCAAAGACAATCAAACTGCATTCTACGATGGCGCCAGGGGATGTCGGAGTGTTTAAATGCAGATACAGCAAGGAAACGTATTTCAAAAATTCTGGAAATATCACCGTCAGTAATACAAAATTTGCTACTCGTGCGACAAGAAGAAACACTTTGGCCATTTGAGCTTACAGGAAATGAACTCAAGAGTCGATTTGACGAGTTGTTCAATTTTGGAGAAAGAAATGATAACTTGAAGGATTTAGTAGAGCGCAGAGAAAGTTTACGCAAAAGTGCGTAAGAAACATAAAATTTCAAATTTCTGCCAAGCACTATTTTATAAATATTAACATCGTTTTATGTTTTATGCAGAATTGGCAGAGCTTGAGGACTCAATTGGGCCAGCAAAAGCATTAGATTGGAAGCATGCAAAACTAACAACGGAAAGGGAGAAAGTACTAGAGAATCAAAAATTTTACAGAGAAGAAGAAAAAAAAACTTTCAAATGATATAGGCTCACTGAGGAGCACATTACATAAGTATGAAAAAGTGGATTCGTGGGAGAAGGCATACCTGAAAATTTTTAATGAAGAGGCTAAACCCATCGGTCTTGCCATGGACGATACTTGCAATTATGAAGAAGCTAAAATGACCACAGCAGAAGATAATTTGTCAGATCAGTTGAAAATTTGTGAGGAGTCAAAGAAACAAGTAAATACATAATACGCATGTTAAATATCTAGGGTACCCGATAATAGAAATTTTTATCCCTTGATACATAAATTGCTCTTGATCCAATTAACAGGCTCAAACTGAAATAGACACACTTACCACCAGCTCTAAAGCACAAACTTATGAATTACAAAACGCTTCCAATTTTTTGGGAAAGGTTCAAGGTAGTATAATTGCGAGAACCGAAATACCGAGCATTTTAGAAAGTACTGGGTCTACTTCAAAAGATCATCTGGAGGCCAAAGTTAGGCAACTGGAACAAGATTTACTAAAACTGGACACTCAAAAATCCGGCCTGGAAACGAAATTGGTTGAGCTGAGGTATGTGAAGATATGGTACAAAATTATTTACGGAAGTATGTATTTACTCATTTTCCTATTTCTGTATGCAGGACCAACCTTAGCGTTGTAAATAAAAACATTGAGGACAATTCAGCCCAACAACGAGAGAGTACAATAAAATCGAAAAATTTGCAAGCCAATTTTGAAAGCGAAGTGAAAAACGAGAAGAAATGGAACTGGATTGATGATTTTCGAAATGCCAAATCCGCAGAAATTTTGGGTATCCTCAACTTTTAATATGTATTGTTGTCAAATTTATCTTTCTTAAATTTCAAACCTCCATATTTTTTAGAAAACAAACTAAAAATAACACAGCTGGGTCTGTCAGAATCAACAATTATACATGAATTTGAAATCAAGAAACAAGAGGTCTTTATGATTGAGAGAATTATTGGAAATCTAAACGGGAAATACGAACTGGCCCAACAAACATTGAACTATCGGTAGGTGACCAACCTTTGCAGTGATTAATTTATAATTACAAACTTGTGTTAAAAATTCATAATGATTGCAAATACAGAGATGAACTTGCTCTGAGTGATAAAACTCGAGCTCACATGGAATGCCTTACGCAGTCTCTTGAAAAGGAGATTAGCGAGAACCTTATAAAATTGAAACAAAAAACACAAAAACTTCGGTCGCTGGAGGAAATATTTTATTGTCAATTACGATTAGAAAAGTTAACGTCATTGGTGGAATACTTTCAAATTTTGGAAGAGAATCAGGAACCTAGTCCTAAAAAGGCGAAAATTATCTTTCGTATGTTATTTTAAGAATTATATTCTTGGTGCCAAATGTACATATAATCAACCCGTAACATTTTTTATTTAAATTTAAGAATCAAAGTCATACGAAATTCGAAAACAAATGGAGAACGAAACTAAGTATTTGAGTCAACTTCAAGCAGAAACTCCAGGATTTCAAGAACGATTGCAGGATTTGCAAAGTCAAATTAAAACTGTGAAGGAAGAATTTAAACCAGTCTCTGAAGAACTCGAATACAAATCTGCAGAAGTTGCTGGCTTGAAAAATAATTTGTTAAAACTAGATACACTCACGCAGACATTTGACAAGGAATTGTCAAATATTGCTGACACGGATGCGCAGGCAAGGGTTGTTGCGTGTAAAAAAAATTATGATGAAATTGTGGAAGAATTGAAAGTTGCGCAAAATAAGGTTGTTAAACAAGAAGCATTAATTGCAAAAACTCAGGTATAGTTATTACCTAAGTGAGAAATATCATTCACGCGTAATATGTATATTACTTTTTCGTTCATAGGAGAATTTGCAACTTTTGCGGCAGAGGCACAAGGTCGTCAGAAAGCTTAAACAAGAAAAGGAGAGCTTAATTTGCAAGAAAAAGCTTCTATTAACGGAAAACCTATTTCAAAAATTTGGAGTACCTGAACATCTAAAAGTGGAAATAAGCCGAATAGAAAATGAAATCGCTATTAAGGACACTTTACATACACAAGCGACCGCAAATTTGGCAGTTTTTACCACAAAATTGCGAGGCATTGATGATCATCTTGAAGGCGAAGTCATGGGGAAAAGTTTCTGGCCTCGTTAATTGTTCGGTTTGCATTAGTACAACACCGTATCCCAGGGTTTCCGGTGTTTGGTTTTGACGCCCCTGAGGGATTCTTGGACTCGGATGTAACTAAAAGTTTAATCGACAGGTATATTACCGATTAATTTAAATAGTGTATTTTTCCTGCATTTACAACGATTTCACAGTTCATTTCAATAAACAGATTTTCCGAACTTATTGGTAAGAATCAAGTAATTCTGACAACTACTTGTTCCGAGTTTGCGAAAAAAATTATGACCCAGGAAAACGATTGGAGTCCTTTGCTTTACCAACTTGTTAAGGAAAACGGGTAAAATGTACATTTTTTGATTTAGATATGATTTTATCTATATTGAGAAGATCAATGTGCTTTTATGTGTTTGAAGAATTTCAATCCTGCGCAAACAAAACGATGTCGCAACTACATCCCCTGCACGATAAGGTGATGATACAACAAGAGAAAATGATTAATTCAAGATTTTAATGTGCTAAATCATGAGTTAATTTAACTTTTAAAAATTATTGCTCAATAGAGACATTTCGAATTATTTCATATTTTTAAATGTTATATAAATACATTTGTTGTGCCATAAATATATTGGAATAAAAAAATGGATAGAATTTAACAAATATTGGTGGATTAAATTAAATTAAATATGCCAACATAAGCTTAATTTACGTACATTTGCATTTTTACTGTGTGCATATTGACAAGTTGTCAATGACAACAGACTGCTAAAAACTGTACGATGAAAATTGCAACTCGCTCCGACAATTTTTTGAGCAGTAATCAGCTCGCAGCACAGATTTGGAGTATACTTACTCGCAGACACTGGGAAAAATGGGATTCGGGAAATTCATGAGTTTCCGCCCAAGATTCCTTTCACGATTGGGGAGATGACTAGAGGGTGGATGTGTTTTTAAGAATAAATAGCAGGAATATCTATCTAATATTTACGATAAACGCAAAAATATGCAAGATTATATGTACATATGTACAAAAAAATGTAAAATTTTTGCAAAACTTGCATTCCTTAATATAAAGTTCTGTGTAATTTACTCTTAAATTTCTTTGAGCAAACAAATTTTGTCTCTTGTCTATACATTATTACTGGAATATACAGCACCAGGGCATAAATTTAAACCCACTCATATGCTGCGCGCCCCGATAGCTCAAGCTTATCAGTAGATTTTATTCAGCCATCGGGTTTAGGTGTATGTTGTACAGAATTTAACTGGCTTTCCAACGGTACTACATTTGGTTATGAAAAAGCTAACGGGTATGCGTAATTAATCATACCAGGAAAAAACACACAAAAATTAGTTGCAAAAGTTTAAACCCGCTTCTTATTAAAAATTACTTCATAACGAAGGGGGGTTAAGGCAAGGGTTTAGCAATTATTTACATTCATCATACATTCATCATTATTACATTCATCATTCATCATACTCTACTTGCAGAAAAAACTAAACAATGGGAAAAAATCGGGAGTTGACCATTGTGATAACAAATTATTGTAAATCTCCGCGAGCGAGACCTGGGACACATAAAAATTAGTGCTATTACCAAATTTAACAGAAATTCAATTAAAACAATGATTAGGAAATAGAACAATATAGCTACTGTACCAAATAAGCCTAAATCGGGACGGCCAACAGTCAAATCTAAGCGAATTGACTTAAATATTGCTTCAAAGGAAATCCAAAATCGTGGGATGGCACTCCAAAATTTGACCTCCGACAGCAAGGGTCATTGTGAGATCCAAATTAGCGCATGAATTGTAAAGAGGAGACCCCATGGACCAAGTCCCAAGCGACGATGAGTTCGAAAAAAAATGTACCTACCTGTGAAAAGCTTAACCCGAAGCCTGAAATGGGCCAATGAGCCACAAGCACAACCCGCCGGGTCTTTGCACGCCCACGCGACCACTTCCGGTTTTCCGTGATAAATTTCCCAGGAATATTTACAAGAAAGGTAGGCAGAACAATCTTTTCCACAAGAGCCAGCCTGGCTTGCATTTACAGTTGTCGCAGCGGAGGAGACCCCATTCCTGTAAAAAATAGCATGTTCGCAAGTGTTTGTCGGTCCTCTTTATGTATGTACAATGGGGATGCAGACAATGTGCAACCCAGATTATTTTTTGGACCACTCAGTTTGCGAGACTAACCGTTTAGAAATAGCTTTAACATCGACAATTGCGCAGAACTGCAAAATTCAGAAATTCGCCTAAATTTTTGAATTTCTAAATGTTGTTTCTAAATAGTTACTCCTATAAACTGAGCTGGTTAAAAATCAATCTTCGTTGAACGTGGTTTGCGTCCCTCGTCATAATAGCAAAATAATTACCCCGTCATGCAAGCACACGCGCAACCAATCGGCTTAGTGCACAATGACTCCAGCGCCTGGCTGGTTGAAGTAGTTGTACCAGCTGTTCTTGCATTGCAAGTATTGCCAACACTTGTCCCTACACGTGGTACTTTGACCGCTGGCCGTGCCGACGAAGACAATTGCAAATAGGACGAGAAATGGGCCCATTCTGTATTCCATGTTTTCCTAAAATTTCCCAAAAATTTGCAAGCAGTTTTGCAAAAAAAAGATACTGAAATGATCGCCTCCCTGCCTCGTTTTATATCAGACCCGATCAAAAGAATAATTAATACTAATTTTCATAGGATGAATAAGAACGAGCCGAACAAAACGTATTTCTGTTGAAAATTTTAATGCAAGGTTAAATTTTACAATTAAATTTTGGATTTGGCCGGATCTGAGTTACCTCTTCATTCATAAAATTTTCCATTAAACAAATTAAATATGAATCATTCGGTCCTAGTAAAATGATATGAATCATGTAAATATTTAAATATTTCAAGCCTGCTGGTATTGTTAAAAAATTACATATGAATCATTTTGAAGATATGAATGTAAATATTTAAATATTTCACATGTGCTTGAATTGCCAAACGCGTATTATTAAAACAAAAATTGTACCAAATGCATATGTACATGGTAAACTCCAACTATTAAGGTTTTTGTTAATGAAGTTACCTACATATATAGGTACGTTTAGCAATTCAATACCTACTGCGCATCGCATTTAGGCGTGTGGATTCTTAAGTGGGTTATTATTTATTACTTATGTATGTTATATTAAGCATTCATATACATATTGTTGCTTTGAAATGTGTCTTATTGTTGAGTTAGTAACACGCAGATCGATTATGTATATGTAAGCAGGCAAGCAATATGCTTGTGCTTCTGGCTTTAATGCAGACATTTAAACACTTGTATAGGGTGCGTCCATATATTATGTTATTAAAAAGATGTATGGGTGGTTTTTGCCTACCAACTTTTTTGTGTTAGGACTAAATATATAACATTAGTGGGATAGGGTAGTGCTGGGTGGAGGGTCAAAGATTTTCACGACATAATATATGGACGTTCCGTCACATATTCATTGTGCCGAATAATTTAATTGACTCAGCGTCCCCGAAGCAGAAGTAACCGCACGACTGTCCTCGCACAGAAGCTCGTCATAACAAGTGGGGTAGAAATTTCCATGTAATTACTTCCGAACCTGATCTTCATCTGGGCCGACGATAGTGCCACCTTTCGCAGCAAATTCACCGATCTAAGGCCCGGCTCCACTTGCAGGGCCTTCTTTTCCATGAGAACCTTGCATTCTTTTGACCGTTTATTGATAAACCCTGACATGGTTCCTAGAGCCAGTATTCCAAGACCAGAACCCATGGAGAGAATGGGAAAGATTGCGTTGCCCGGATGCCGGAATAATTCAGATTTTAGTGCGACCGTAGTACAGACTCCGAAAATGTTGACCGACAAGAGATACACGAGCACTGCAGGGAGGAGGACCTGCCTGCAACACAGGTTTATCTGGGCGACCAAGATTTGCAGCTGCTTGTAAATGAGGAGGACCCGAATCAGCTGATCGGGGAATTGTATCCGGTTGAATTTCACACAGCTGAAAAGTAAACCGATACGTTTCATATTTACTAGCACTTATAACGGTTTATATTAATTTATTTAACAAAGAATTAGTGATCCATTCATTCAGTATTCAATAAATTCATTAATAATGAGTGAATAATTTATGCTTACCGCCTTAAAGTTGTCACATGCATCGCTACGCACTGCAACGTCCCCAACAATAGTTGTCCCACTACGAGACAGAAACCAATTCCCATCACCATGATCATCCAGCCCTGCGCGAGAAACACAATGGTACGTCCGGCAGTTACTAGTAATCCAGCTTCGTTGTATGGTGGGAACACAGAGGTCAAGAAGGGTCTCAGGCCAGGTTCGAAGAACGTAATAATGACCATGGTAGGTGATGCGACGACACCACCATAGATCGCGACACAGAAACAACATTTCATTCCACGCTTCCAGCTTCTAACCTGATCAGCGGAGCATCCTGTACGCATCAAAGAAGTTAATAAGTAATTGTGACTCTTTAAAACAAATGACTTCGCAAAGAGTAAAACTATATTCACTGCCTCATGTTAATGGGTGTTAAAATGTACCCTATAAGTAAATTTATCAAAGGGTCCCACGGACCGGTCACTGGACGGATCGGTGACTACAAATACGTGTGTGCGTCTACCAGGGTTAATCACACGCCGTCTTTATGTCATATATTCGTCATGGGAATAACCAACAGCTACTAAATCTTCGCACGGAAGAAGCACACCATAATAAACACACTGAAAACTACTATCAGCAGAGTGGGTAGAGTCACGCGTATGAACTGAGGTCTTAGAATGAACAGTAAAAGGTTTATTTTTATCCCTTCACCTCGTCCTTCAGAAATTCATATTTCAATTTTTCATAATCAAAGAAAATCATAAAAATTTACTTACTGAACCCGAGAAAATACATCTTCTCAAATCTTAGAATCATATTGAGCGAATTCACAACTTGCTTTGGTTCGATCAGAAACGGCAGAATGGTCACAATCGCAGTTGAGTATCCAAACGTCAGCATCGTCATAATAACACCATACAGCACACCCAGCTTTACCTTCAGAAAGGAGTACGATGCGTTCATCACCATGCCAACAATTAACGAAACGACTATGCAGATCTTCAATTTTTGACGCTTTTGAGGGCAACTCTTTACAAATTTCTTGCTTTTCACGTCATACTCGATCGTGCTAATTCCCACTTTGGACAAGTAAACCAATTGGAAAGAAATCAACTTGATTCCTTCTTGAAGCATTTTTATGATCAGAAACTTAACTTGCTCCTCTGAAATTTAGCCTGGCAATGAAATGACTTTGAAGTTGTAACCGCAAATAGATAAAGTGAGAAATATGTATATATATTTGCAATATTTATTTTAAAGCCCCATGTCACCCATGGGTCTTGGTTGATGTAAGGTGCTTAAATATTAATTCCGCCACTTTGAAGAGCATAAATTGTGCATAAATTTATTGGTATCGAGTCAAATACATTGTTAAAGTGATAGTTAATTTCAATTTATTTCCAAAGTATTGCTATTAATAAGCAGTTGATTACATGGTCGTATTGACCTTTGGTGCAAAAACATGGGTCGCTGTAGCTTATTTGTTCACGAGCAAGGCTGCGGCATCCTCGTAACACTGGATTCCGTAGTTGTAATAATTGTGCTGGTATGTGAATATGCAGGATTGTGTAAATAATGCGGCACTACCTGGCCAAACCCACCTTAGTAAATACATACATGGAGAACTAAATTCTTGTGTAACAATAATATAATTGATTCCTGCTAATTTTATTATTAAGTAAAAATTAGAAACTTTAAGTCCCTCAGTTCAATCTTGTGCTCGCTTTAAGAGAGAAAGTCAATTTGTGTTATTCATGACATGACAACATTTTCGGTCTCTCAATTCCTCTCACTTAAACCATTTTTTTGCTGCTACATAGTTGCAGTTATTTCTCCGCTCTGTATTACATAAAGTGTACAATATTATTTAGACTTTTAACGGATGATGTTGAATTCAATCAATGCAGCAAATTTAGGTGAACTCAATATTTTGCAGATGTGTGAACTTCATCCAGAAACAATGCAACTTAATGAGGAGGTTGAGCTGGACGTCGCATTAGGCAATAAAATGATTATTGAACATCCGTAGACCTCTGATTTCAGCTCATCATCAAATTCATTTCATTATAAAAGCAACATCATGTTGGCGTGAACATATATCAAAAGAGCATCCATAATTCGCTGATCTCCCTAGACCAAGTTTGTGCTGAAATTATGTATCTGAACATCTAGAAGAACAAATTGCAACACCTGAAAGTTGAAAGGACTGACCATGTGGGTCAATGAAGCTTACTTGGACACAATGGAAGGTACGACATCACGCAAAATATCATGTACTCTAAGAATTGTACATGTCTAACCTGTCTCAATTTACGTCGAATATACTACTCAATATTCGAATTCAAGTCAATAAATAACAAGGAAGGACATTGCCGAAAACGTGTCACCGGTTTTCTTGAACTTAAACCACACAAACTTTAATTAGTATGCCAAGCATGACAAGTCGGTACGATGTACATAAATGCATCCACTCAAATCTGACACATTCCATCGGAACCTTCGCCACCAAGAATAATTAGAAAAGGGTAAGCATTCCATCACCCTAGTTGTGCCTGGCCGTCTAAATTATTCATGCCCTATACTGGCTATAATATGTGGCCCCATGCTTATACTCACTCCGGTTTATCTGGGTGACCTTAGATAATCGTACATAAATATTTAATCCATTTTCGCCGGAATTTCCAGCCCGGACAAGATTTCTTTTATTCATGCAGAAACATGTCTTCTCTCCAGCCTGAAAATAAATAGCAAGTCCACCGAAGTATTTGTGTCCTATTTTGAACTTTGTACGCAATTATTGTATAATTTGTAAATACTTACCAGGGCAGTAACGTCACTGCACTAATAGTAATCCAATTAACCACTAATGCACTAATGCACTAATAATCTAATTAACAGTGCCCAATTTGGGTGCATGTAATTTAGGCTGTTATCCTTCTTATAGACATAAATACAACATCCAATTGGTTTCCATATCAAGAATGAACATAAATCGGAAATGAATTTTTTGAGCGACTTCTGCGTTGTCTGTTTTTACGATATATTTACTGTGATATTTACATTTGTCTGCATAATTTCAATTCTTACTGAATAAATAAACCAGTGGACATACATAAACCGGTATAACCTAGTTTTGTATTAATGTCAATATGAATGTTCTACGTAAATAAAATAAATTCGCACAACAGCAAAAATATATCACAATTTGAAAGCTAAGAATTTTAAGGATTAAGAAATTTTATTTACTTTTCAAAAACATAACACACTTTTTAAGACTTACATAAACATGTTTCTCGAAGGGATCACAGTGTTCAACTTTCTTCTAAAATACCTTGAGATATTTTTCATTGAGCCAATCCAGTACGACGCTAGGAAATATAAGTACTATAATTCGAAAACTTCTTTAACAAAATGTGTCATAATCCTAGGTGGAATTTTTGCCCTTATCGTGACTGGGATAAGATCCACACTATTTACTAATGTTACCTCCGATCAAAAAGTTTTTATTTTATTTTTCGTCATCGCATTCAGTTTTGCGATTGTGATTTGTTTGCCAATTTTAGTCCGGGTGGATACATTCGTTTCCTTGTTAAATAAAATGATAAGCTTTGAGAAGGATAAGCGTTGGAAATTATTGGGTAAGTTGTTTTCCTTTCACAATGGAGGTCTCCCACCAAGCGTATGCTCTGCAAATTAAATGTGTCAATCAATCGCAAATTTAGCTAGTATTAAATTTGCAAAATACACAATCTCCCATTGCGCACGTTTGATAGAGAAATTGGGAAGAATGAAGAAAAACCGCGCAAAAAATTGACAAATTTTATACGTCCGAAATTTACTGGGAGTTTTCTCCTCTTCTGATACAAATAACTTTGCCAAACTTGGAAATTGCGGTACATTTAGCAAATTGCATATTAGATAATCATTTATTATCGATTGATAATACATAATTTGGCCAAAATTACATAGCGAAGCCTCTATCGTTAGTTTTACTATAAATTTTGAACCTGAGTTTTTTAGGTCTGGATAAAAATACGACGAAAAACTGGAGAAAAATGCTCAAAATTTGCTACTTTATTTCGCTCTTCATCTCAATAACGGGAGTGAATGGTGTCATCGCACTGACAATTTATGACCCTAGTCTCCCGCCATTTCTAGGCTCGTTGCTGTCATTGAGAGAAAATGGGTGGGCATTTGCGAAATTTATGCACCTGGTGACCTTCACCTTTCAGGCGTGGCTGTTCTCAGTGGTTGGGATTTTATTCAGTCTAACGGTCGGAAACGTATTTGTTGGGACGTTGCTATGCTTAAACTTTTATCTGGTGGGATTAAAATGGTGAGATTATTGGTAGAGAACTTGAATATTTATTTACAAATTCCGACTTAACAGGAACTTGCTAAATTTTGCGAAAAATTTCACATACCCCTTTTTGGAAAAATAATAGACCCAGATTTCCTATTGTCCAATTGCCATAGTAAATAATTTTTATAGGTTAGTAAACTCAAAATCAAGATAAATTAAAGTAATTACCTTTTTACAAGCTTAATCATTAAAATTCCCATATTTTAATGATCTGAATTTTGAAAATTTTGACTTATATCCTTTTATTTTCAAATTTGTCCCATAAATGGAAATTTCCTTACTAAAAAGGATTACACTTCTTAAGTTAATCGTGATTGGAAATGTCCATAAAAATTTGAAAAATTCTGAAATTTTCAGCTCCATCAAACGCCACCCCCTCTCAACCATTCTCCAGCTCTATAAACACCTCGAAATTCTGGGTTTGCATTTAAATCTCACCTTCCAAGATAGCATTCTACCCGCCACGTTGCTCTACTTGCTCACCATCAACATTCTATCGACCTATTTGTCCATTTCTTTTCAAAGATCTTTCAAAGGATTTGAAAACGTGGCGCACCTAATTTTTCCTATGTTCGCAATTGAGACAACCGTCGCCATCTTGGGGTTGGGCACGATGGCCTGTTTGGTCAACAAAAGGTCGGCCCAGTGCATCACACGCGTTCGAAAAGTGGCTTTATCGTTAGAATCCTGGCAGAAAAATGAAAAGCAAAGGAGCGGAAATAAGTTTTACTGTAAAGTCGTGAAAGCACGGAGACCTTTGAAGATCAGATTTGCCAGCAGTTTCGTCGCTGTGTCCACACCACTTGTGATGATTAGCTTTTGTGCAAAAACGACCGTAAGGTTGATACTGGTTCAATCGTAGAGATGATTAAAATAAAATTATGGAGGAACCTTCGATGGAGGGACCACACCAACATTTTTGAATAATGTGATCTATTCGAATGGGATACTTTAATCAAGGCATTATTCCTTTCACACGAAAAAGTTACTTTTAATAATGTTACCCTTTTGAAAAGCAAATATTGTCGACATTCCATATTAGGCTAAATATACTAAATCCTGAGTAGAGCTAACTTGATAAAAAGAGTGAAGATTGCTCTGGATTTAGTGTAGAGGGTGTTCCGGAAGTAATGCAACTTTGGTAAAATGCATATATGCAAGGGTATCAATTTGCCCCAAATTCGAAATTGGGTTAATATTGTAGTCCACACATTTATCTAGTAGAATCCGAAAACCAGAAGTCGATATCTCTATCCGTTCCAAAATGAGGTCAAATACCACCAAGCAACTCGCAACCATCGTCTGCCACTACCTCGAAAAAGTGGTTACGCGCTCCAAGAAATTGAGCTGTGTTCACTTTAAAAAATAAGAAATTCCAAAAGTGACGATTTGTTGTGTTATACTAAGGTATGAGCTGCAAAAAACGACTAATCGCATAAAATATCTGGTCGGTACATTCGTGTGGCAGCCCCGAAAGTAATAAACTTCGTGTAGATAGAAATTTGTTATGTCGGAGCGAAATTCGCTGAAGTACTTGAAGTTCTCACCGAACACCATACATTATTTGAAAGCTTAGAAGTTGGACATCAAATCCTAGAAGGTTCTAGAAGCTTATAAATATAGTCAGGAGTAAAATAAAAGTAGCAAGCAGGAGGGCAGAAAAAGTCCTTGACCTGAAGTAATTAAAATTAACCAAAATTCATCGTCCTGTACAAGACGATTTACTGCGCAGATTATCAAAATGCTTTTATTTGCACATAGTACAACTCTCCCACCTTCAAGAAAACCATTTATGCAAAACTGGAAATTAAATATAAGCCAAAGTATCACGCTCCGCCTTAAAACGGATCAAATGCAATTAACATGGGAGAGGTGAACGTTCCCAAATTTGCCAAATACAAGACCTATTGAAAAATTTTAGTTCCTATCCTAGAAAAAATATTGTAATCGAAAAACTTCAGTCAAAAATTGGAACTTATTTCAACACATGTGGTCAAAAATCTCAAAAAAGGTGACCAAAAACAGTGGCGAAGCACTAATTGTGAGCGCCCAACAAAAACGTCTCCAAATTTGGCGGAAGGGGTGTACGGACCATTGGAAGTAAAACTTAATTAGCTTTAACCTTTGTCCCTTTCTGACCAAAATTTCGCTTTAAAAAATTCATTCGTTGAGTTTATATGTGCATTTGACCAAAGTTGCATTACTTCCGGAACACCCTCTAGTTTACTTAATTTAGAATTAAGACAGTATATACTTAATTCTTAGCGTAGCTCTATTGTTAAAAGTGTACCATGATCAGAACTTAAAAATTCGTGGATATTTTTCACCTAGTGCGGTATCCTGCGAGAACAGCAAGTTGTCAAACCTATGACATTTTTCTCCATTATAGGGTGTATGCAATCGTGACATTTTCTCATATCTGAATTTATCGCTCTGAATTGAACCAAAGTTAATATTCGTAATAAGTTGGCCCAAATCTGGCATAAATTTGTTAATTGTTTTATGAAATAAACTGCTGGATTATATAATTTCACTTGGTTTTATACACGAGTGGACTTTGAACTGACTTTTACGTCATTACTCTCATCCGAAGTGTTAACGTAACTTTGGAATTATATAAATCATCCCTACTATTCTAAGTAAATGCGTTACATAAAGCGGATTATTTAATAAGACAAGTGTTTTTCACAATCTCCGGAATCGTGTTAATTACCAAACCACAAATACATTTTACTACCAAGTTTTTGATTTATCTCGACCATGAAAACATTTGGGCTACACACACGTGTAAATTATCCGAAAATCCGCAATTAGACCTGTCAGATTTAACCTTCACTCACCTTGCCATTGTAAAAATGAGATTGTGTAATGTCTACAATAATTATTCTAAATAGGAAAGAACTCTTTAAATAATGGAGTAAAATTTGCAGCATATGTACTCATAAAATTTATATTAGATACATGGGGCAGCCATGGACGCATAACTTATAACTTAAAATTATGACGTATAACTTAACTTATAATTATAAATATACGTCGCCTTATGGCGTTTCTATGACTTATAACTTATAAAATAAGTTATACGTCATAATTTTAAGTTATAAGTTATATGTCCATGGCTGCCCCATGTATCTATTAACTAAATAAGGCTCATAACTTGTATTTGCAAATAATTTGCATATTTATTTAAGTATCGCGTAATTATGCAATTTTGAAAGTCTAAAAATAATTAAGTATTTATTTACGTATTTATTAAGGGTGTAATACATTTCTGGCAGAAGAAACATCTGTGGCATGTGCTTGAAATATGTACATCCGGATTGAAAATGGATATAAAAACGGCTCCAATTCTTTCACTTAAACATTCGCAAAAAATTAACCTAACTAAAATTTAGGAATTAAAAATTTACAACATAAGTATTCATTAGCCATGTATTTTTCTTGGGTCATTTTTTCCTGCCTACTTGCAGTACATGCTTCACCCATCGAGGTATGTATTTATAACACTTGCCAAATTTTCAATTGTTCAGGGATCATTAATTAATTTTCGAAATACGCATTTGTGTAGGTGAACAATAATGCAGTAAGGTCGGCTAGAAATGTAAAGTTCCCCACAACGTTTGACATTCCTAGTAAGTGGATTTTTAATAATTATTAATTTAAATATCAATTGTGTATCCCATTTCGACGGAATTTTAAGTTGACAACTTTGTGCAAAATTACTACACCCTGAATTTAAAATTCCGTTCAGAAAGATATTCATTATTCAACGATTCTGTATCCATGAATGTACATTTCAGCATCAACTTCGTCCGGAACCACGTCCAGCCAAGGGTCGACGGCATCTTCGACCACGTGGTCCTCCCGAGCCCCCACCTCGACTCAAGGTTCCTCCACGACTCGAAGGTGGTCAACTTGGTCAACTAGGGCACCAACTTCGTCCTCCTCTTCCACTCAGCCAGCAACGTCCACGTGGCAACCAACCTCATCCAGCCAAGCACCCACATCGTCGTCATCTACTACCCAACGGTCAACCTGGTCCACGTGGTCGACACGTGCCCCAACTTCTTCTCAGGCACCAACTTCCACCACGTCGGGATCAACTTCGACCTGGATTCCCACCTCAACCACGCAGGCGACCACGTCAACTCAAGAATCGTCCACAGATGGCGGACAAACTTCGTCGACGTCCACCTTTCCAACGACGACTCAAGGCTCATCGTCGACATCCTTTGAGACCACCACGACCGGAAATAACCGGACGAGCAGTACGCAAAATCCAATCTGCACCATCTTCCCGGATTCTCCATTCTGTAAGTTGTACCGAATCATGGAATAATCCGATTATTTTGACGAAAATAAATTTAACAAACGCTTAACATCCTAAGAAACTATGTTTTCATCGAAATAAATAATGAAAATTATGTATCTGGGAAATAGTAAACAAACTTAAAGGCGGAATGCTTCATAATCTGAATTGTTTAGGTTTAAACTTTTATTCAAATGTTGAATTTATTTAATCATATTATTAAAGGCGTACTTAACATGACTTGAAATATTTCAAAACTGTTTAAAAGTATTCTTAGATAATACCTTGCATGCAAAATCTTATTTAAAAGTTCATGGAGTTAAAATTCCGAAAATTGATATTGAAATAAAAGGTCCTACATAGTTTAAATTATTCATCAGCCCGTGCAGGACTCAAGCTTGGTTACGTATGTATGCAGTGGCCGCGGAAGGCGTGGGGGCACATGGGGTCATTAATATTCGGGATAGGGGAGCGAAGGGTTTCTATGCGTAAAATGGGAAGTTGATCGATACATTGAACAGTCCCACCGTCCCCACGCTTCCGCGGCCCCTGAACTTTGTAAATAGTTGGTTGATAAAACTCTTGAACATTAAATATGTAGTACTTACTATTGAATGCATAATAAGGAGTGGACTGCGCACAAAGTACGGTATCGACAGATACCGGACATCCACAACCTACAAAACATCCGGTAGTGTCACATATTTATAATTTTCATATTTGTATTGACTTGGTAGTAATTTCCTACCGGATTGGTAATACCTTCTTATTTGTAATTGTTTCATTACCGTGCATAACATCAACATTCAGACACACATAGGTGCATATTTTGCACGGATCTTCTTAAAACTAACTAAAAAATCTAGTAACTATGTATCTAGTACTATGCAATCAACAGTTGTTGAGGCACTTAAGCACTTATGGTTTACATAAATACTACATAGGTTATATACTTTCCAAGTTTTGATTACTATATAGTAATATATCACGTGATATATCACGTTGAGTTTTTTTATTCATATATAAGTCTAAATATTTTCACCAAATATATTTAAGTTCCTGCATGCGTCTGATTAGCGTCAACATCATACTTATTTATGTTAATTAATTCATGATATTTTTCTCATAAAATTTTTCAAGACACCCAACCTTAAAGCGATAAAAGATAGGATCCAGCTTTTTACATAAGTTCTTTGCCCCTCCTAAGTTCTTAGTTGAATCCTTTCAAAATATTAAACTATCAAAAGGCCAACGACAAAAAAATTCAGATGAGAATTTGGTTGAGAAATTAATTAATTAAATTCCAACTTAAAATCTTCGCAACGCAGTATTTAAGATCTGTAGAAGTGTTCAAACGCCGCAATACATATATAACGGCTATATTTTGGTAGATGATTTTTTACTGCTGGTTGTACGAAGATCCGTAGTGCTCGCTGTTGGTAATAGCATACATCGGTAATAACTTAATGCCAGTGCCAGGTATGCACCTTGACTAGAAAAGGGCATTGGCGACCCAAAAACTACATCCTTTACGTACAGCCTTTAACAAGATAATGTAATTTTACCCGGGCAATAATACCTTTACCTACTTAGAAATTTAAGTATATTAATCAATTCCTATCTAAGCAGGTAACCGCTTCTAAGTTTGGCCGTTTTTCAGCGAAAGCTTAGCAATACGACGTACAGATACTTTGCCTATTCTGCAAAATAAAAATTATTTCAACCCACTGCAAAATGTCCGGTCGGAAATATTTCCATCGTTTCCATCGTTCTCGACAGGTTTTGAACGCATTGCAGAAACCACTGCAATCCACCGATTTAATTTCGCCCGGGTTATGGAAAATTGGGGAACAATATTTCACGCTTTTTGGAAGGATCGGGATCCTCCCGTGGGAATTCGTGGTAACCACAAGACAACTAAATTTAGCTAAAACTTCTTCCTTAAAGCGCGGGATTCTCAAATTTTCATCCCTCCTCACAATCGCGTACGCCTTAATGACTACCGTCCTCCTGACGAGAAAGCTGTTATCCTGGGAAACCAGGGGTGACGACACGTACGACGTTATCCGCACGTTCCTCATGTTTTACATAGCCATTCTCTACCCCGCAGTCATACCGACGAGTTGCATTATCGGTTTTCGGGCGAGACTTATTTGTCCGATAATTAATGCAATTAACCAATTGGAGTCTAGTGTATCGGGTAGGTAACAAATTAGGGTGCATTCTCTCATTGTAAACCCTAAAAATTTAGATATAAATCGTCACCCGCGGATGCTCTGTAGTGCTCTTTTTTTGGGTAACGATTAATGAGAAGTTTGTCACCAAGGGTAAATAGGTAACTCAAAAACTCATGTAGCAAACACACATTCAGATAACAAAAATGTTCAGTTTTAAAAACTGAATATCTAATTGGTAAACAAATTTTTGACCTATTTCCCATTAGTCTTCTTAATCATTATCTATTTTAAAAACAGAGCACTACACTTCGGGTGACGATTTGTCTTCAAATTATTTACAGTGTATAACCTGGGGTAGAATTTTATTGTGGCTTCGACAGAGGGAATTCCCCTGGTCCCCCACATGACATGCTTCCCAACACTGATAAAAGCATAACTGAAATTATGAATGATATAATTCTTGTTAGGCTCAACCATACATGTTGTACTTTTTGTAAGGCTAATACTTAATTGTATAATTTTGGCCACTAATATTTATGGAGGACAATCAGTACACCAGGCTTACAATGCGATGGTGTGAAGTGTAACCCTCCGATTTGGCTGAAATTTTAAAATTAGGTGGTCCAAGCCAATACAACTAACGTTTCTTCAGGCAGTTTGTGCGATGGTGAGAGTTACTCAAAATATTTGAGGTCAAAGTTCAAAAAACGGCCGACTTTTTTCAGGCGGAGTGAGAAAACTCCACTTCCAGTCTCTTCCCCTCGCTTTGATTTGCAGGTGTCTCGCTCACGCATACGCCTTCATGCACAAGCACAGGCTTTGATGCAAAATAATAAAAAATAAAAATTATTAACTACAGCTTAAAAAGCAATTAATACGCATTCTACATAATTTAATTCATAATTAAATAAGTGCGATTTTTACTTATTTCTAGTACAAATTTACATAAAGTTAATTTATAAATTCGCCAACGGCAAATAAACATGGAAAAACGTAACTTGCTTTCCATTTCGAACGCGTTGGTTATTCCAATTAATTTGTATTTTAAGTGCTCCTGTGTTTGTTCCAATGATTCGATATTGTTGGTACTCGAGCGGATTATGGGGTGATGACGAAAAGCCCGAGTTTAAAAATGTAAACGACGTTTGTTTTAGAGAAAAAAAATATTAGTTGCGACCTGAATTGTGGCAATCCCACATTCATCAAATTCAGCTGGTGCAGTTTATCGTATTGTTTTGTGGACTTTTATGAAAATAATCATATGGTCACATGTACAATGAATAATTAATATTTTTCTACAAAAAAAAATTAAATTTAAAATTGTTGAAATGAACTATTTTTCGGAGTGAAAATCAAAGCGAGGGGAAGAGACTGGAAGTGGAGTTTTCTCACTCCGCCTGAAAAAAGTCGGCCGTTTTTTGAACTTTGATCTCAAATATTTTGAGTAACTCTCACCATCGCACAAACTGCCTGAAGAAACGTTAGTTGTATTGGCTTGGACCACCTAATTTTAAAATTTAAGCCAAATCGGAGGGTTACACTTCACACCATCGCATTGTTAGTAGTGCTTTAATTTAATGATTTTGCCTGATTTAGTGTCCTCTTTTCTATTTATACCGCCCCTGGTTAAAACGGGCTTATATGTAGCTACAAATACAAATAAGTATGCATATTTCATTTACTTACCTAATTTTCACTATACTAAATATTTCCTAAATCAACAGCTCTCGGAAGATCCCGGGAATACGCACCGGTCAACAAAATCGTTGAATTTGGAATTCTCCACCTAATCAAAATCGTCGCATTCATGCCTTTTCTAGTTCCACTCCTCGCCTGGGTAGATATTGACCCGCTTCGTGTAATCAGCTCTCAAGTCCAATATGTGCAGATGTTTATATATTTTGATCCCCATTTCGAATCCTACCCCGTATCGGAACCGTTCAGTATGGATAATAGGCAGAGCATGATGTTACCAACGAGAATATTGCAGCCCATGCAGGAGATAATTTGGATAAAAAGCTTAATCGGTGTGGGGTAAGATTCGACGAATGAATATAGAGGATTTAGATAAGGTTCCGAGAAGTTGATGTAAATCAGGATGGGCGGGAACAAATAGTTTACACAGAAGTGGTACGCATAGAGTAGGTGGTCCACCAAAATGTCCGATTCGGTCAAAGGATTCTTCCGGCTTGATAGTTGTTCTAAGTAAAGTAATATAAATTAAGACGTGTTGACATACAAGTATTTTGTTCTTTCAAAATTCGCTCATTTTGCAATTGATAAAAATTATTCGTTCATAATTCATTCATTCAAAATTCATTCATTTTACAATTGATAAAAATTATTCGTTCATAATTCATTCATTCAAAATTCGATAGTAAATACTTCTTTACTCATTTTTAAATATGCGTTTTATCTCAAATTAGCTTGATTGGATTAATTTCTCAATTTATGGGCTATGTATGTTCATTCATGTGAAAAAACATTTTATCGATATAGGTATGTGTATTTATATGTATGTTGATATCTGAGGGACAATTATGTACGGCGCTGGTCGTTAGCTTTTTCCTAATAATATACATGCTCATGTACTTACCTAAGATAAAAACTTAGGGTTCCTATCTAGAATTACACATAATAAGCATTATCTCTGAAAAAAATTTATACTTAGAACTTTTATGCGATCATTAATATATATGCACACAGGGTCAAATTTCTGGAAACAGGAAATGAGCATTTATGTTAAATACATACTTTCCCACCTCAATGTCCAGCGTGTCGGGACACCCTGCTGGCCGAAGGCCAGCAAGGTGTCTGACATTTTTTCCTGACGTCACAAAAATAATTCGGAAAAATTTTCATTCTAAATTTTTCAAATGAATTTTAAAATTTAGATTTGAATTCAAAATGTATGCAACAGGGAAAGTCCATATAGATATCCTGTCGACAGGGTCTCATTTAATGGAACGGACTTTCTGTCACTTTTAGTCACAATTATTAGCTCGCCCTGCGTAGCACGAGAGCTATTGAATTCCTCTTGTCCGTCCGTCTGTCTGTGTGTTAACGAGTTTTTTCATCAATTGATGCGAATTAATAATCCCCTTGATCATTAGTGAATACATTAGGCTCACCATTGGTATCGAACAATCCGTGGCGAAAATGGTGCCAATTAATTGTGCAAATGGATCGAGAAAGGACTACAATTTTAGAATAGGCTGCACCGTTAGTATTGAACAGTTGGATATCCAAGCTGATGCAAAACAATTGGGGGGCATCCCTTGTTGCTAACTAGAATGGACCAGGTCCATTTTTTAATAAATTAATAGCACCGTTGGTATCTAACAATCGGTAACACAAAATGATGCGAAACACTTGGGTTAATCGATGCAAAACGCACCGATGGTACAGAATATTCGGGAGAAGGGAGTATATAATTTTGACACAAATTTTTCGAAATTTTATTTGCCCCGCCACGGTTATCTCCAACAGCGGTGCAAAATACTTTGCCGCCTTCCTCGTTTTTCTGCACCATTGATGCATAATTGTATAAAAGTTATTGATCTATTTCGTTGAACTACTATAATTTTGCACCAAAGGTGCAAAGGTGCAACGTAATTACGTATTACAGGGTGAGCTACTTCTAACGTTACTCCCGTTTATTTCATGCTGGGATTTTTAATTTAAAATTCCAATTCAATTTTCTCAAGAACAGGTATGTACATCTTTCAAAATTATTTTCATACCATTTATTAACCACGTATCGGACTACATACTATCCCCGTACTTCGGCTTTGCACCTCATTTGCATAAATCTGCTCGCACAAGTTCTTGTAGCCGTCGCCCGAGATGGGGACAAGTGAGACTCTATGACTTCCACGAATGTGTACATGAAATGTAAGATTTTTAACTACGGAATGCACGTATCAAATATGGTAAGCTATTTAGTAAAACGATGACGGATATATGGATATGTATCATATTAAATGCAGATAATTTACAAGAGAAGAGATAAACACATTCGTATTATAATTTAAAGAGAAGATGACATGATTGAAGGAAGAAATTGAATTTATTTCCCAAGTTTTCGATACTGCACTCGTGTCATCATCAGGGATTAAATATTTAGAAATCAAAACACGATATGTTCATATTATACTTTAATTAGTTACCTAAGACTTTTTCAGATCATGAGCACCACCATGGAAGCAAATTGCACGTGTCCAGCAAAATTTAATCATTAAACTTATTTAACTAAATGACATTACTGTCAACTATAATTGACCACCATCGCCTTCCCAGAGAGTGATGCGAAAGGAAGTAGCACTGTAAGAATGATAATTGGCCACGATTTGCAACTGTTTCGTATCTTCCTTCACCTACATATGTACATCATCAATTAATATTGGGTAATAGATTATTACTAATATTTTTGTAGTGAATAATGTTGGTGGTGAGCTAGTGACTTACATATTGAAATTAGCTATCGAAAAATTCTAAGTCCCCGTCCTCGCTTTCCAAATCATCAGATTCAGTATGATATTCTGAGTCTGATGAGTCATCTTCACGAATAGGAATAATTATGGGCGTCATCAAGTTCGTTGCAGGTGAATCTAAGAAATTGTCCATCAATCTATCCCTTTCCCACATTTTGTCTTCATATTTTATAGAATGATGGACGCAATTCCTCCACATTTCAGGTGTTATATTTGATACCGCTTTCTTCGACAATTCATATATTCCGTTCAAATTATTGCCTGGATTATGTTTAGCGATATAGCCCTTGACAATTGCCCAGATTAATTCAATCGGGTTAAACTCGCAGTGAGCAGGTGGAAGCCAGAGTATTTTTATATCCTTGTTGCTTTCTTCTGCAAGTTTCTCCACGATAAATTTGGGTTTCACGGGTTTTGATTTTGCCAGTTCGATTAGTGATGATTTGGTAAGTTTATGGAAACTTTCAACTCCTTCGGGCAGACGAATGTCATGTTGAACAACCCAATCAACAATTTTCTGCTTCAGCGAGGCCATGTTCGGCATTAGCGTTCCTTCAACCTATAGTAAAACAATCTTACTACGATTTTGAAATTACAACATTGAATTCAAAATGTACCCTTTTGCGGTGGTAGGGAGCCTGATCTAGAACTAAGACCGATTTTGGTGGCACGAGACTCAGGATCTTTTCAAACCACGTCAAATATCTGACATGGTCCATATTACCGTGATAATCTTTAACGTCCTTTTTTGAAATAAAAATATCGTCCCCATCCGTCAGAAACCCATCCTCGGATCCTATGTGGTTAATGATGACTCTGCCGTTTCCAGATTTTACCAGAAATCCTCCTGAATAAAAACGTTTAAATATGTTATAGTTAGATTCTGCTAACACGAGGTTTACTTTAGTAAAATGAAATAAAGATCAGACCTGTCCAGTTATTCATGTCCTGCAAAATCATGCCACTCCAAAACTGGTCCATTTCTTGCCGTTCACGGTTTGTTAGCAGCATTTCCCAGCAATATTTTCTCGTATTATCGGGAGAAGCCCACGTCTCGTCGGAGAAATAAATTTTTCTATTTTCTGCTCTATATTGCCGAATTTTCCTAAGGTAGTTTTCTCTTTGGGCAACTATGTCCGTACGTTCAAGATAAACAGGTTTTTTATTTATTAGTCGATATTTGAAGCTACATTTTGTCACCAGCCACTTTCGAAACAATGATTCGCTAATTTTAGGAAAATATTCATTATTGCGACATGTTTGCCAGAGGGAGTTCGCACTTGGATATTCTTTACGTGAATAGAAGTCTTGAGTAACACGACGAATCATTGAGGTCGAAAACTCATCACATTAATAAAGTGGTTTCCTTGGTGTATTATCAGTTTGAATTTCTTTGTTATTCTCTTTATTACTCGCGTTCTTCATAATTGTGTGCACTGTTCGTTTTGAAACGTTGCACAACCCTGCCACTTTTTTTGCTACATTTTCTAGCTTGAACTGGTTTAACACTTTCACATTGTATTTAAAGTAATTTTGTAAAGTTTGCACAAACTCGTGCACGTTTTTTACTACTCCAGATATATTTTTTGACGGTTTATTAACTCTTGTTACTCTCCTAATGCTCATGGTGACAGTATTACTATTTGCAATTAGGTATTTAAATTTTTACAATTTTATAATGTACAAATTATTTCGTTGTGCATGTTTACTAAAAACCACATGTTTACACCAGTTCCCGCACGCGTCATTCAAAATAGTGTGGGCGACGGCTACAAGAACTTGTGCGAGCAGATTTATGCAAATGAGGTGCAAAGCCGAAGTACGGGGATAGTATGTACATACATTATGTCAATTTTCCGAAGGAATAGATATAAAATTGTTGAATCTGCAAATATTTTAATGTTAAAATATTGCGAATTGAACTTTACATAATTAATACTACGGGGGTTTGACCGATTCATTATTGTGTCTACCCTAGTTATATTTAAATAATTTTTTAACAAGTTTTCATATTTTAAATGGATTCAATTAACTTCTTTAGTAGAAATTATTATTTTTTAAATTGGTTCAGAATAGTGGATTCGATTGTTTTATTTCTTTCCCGTTGCGTGTATTTCAAAATTTTCATTTCAAACATCTTGTGAATTTGTGTGATGTTGGCCCTGATCACACATAAGAAACTTGGTACACTTTTTTTTAAATGTTCAAATAGGTTTACAAATAAAAATACGGACCAACTTTATTAAAACTTGACTGTGCCAAAGTAGTAACCCTGCCCTACACATAACCATCAACCATAGTTTGCTCCCCCCCTTGGGGCCACCACTCTTACGTTTTTCCTGAAAACTGCAAAAACAATCCACGCACCTAATCTGCGTCCACTCTTAAGTTAAACTGAGGGAGCTCAAGCTATACTGCGCAGTTAGTTATTAGTAGAGATTGTCATTGATGAAGTTCATTTTACGGGACACCACTGCATGGGTTACGAGCTAGTGTAATGCATTTTTTGCTAAAATTGCGAAGCTTAGTAGCAATCACTGTGAAAGTGAAAACCTGGCGAATCGAGGTTTTCACAACCACATAATCGTCGCTGGCTCTAACCCGAACAAGACGTGGCAGTGCTTCAAAACGGAAACACGTCACAAAACGACAATATATCTTTATATTTCGATGCATTAGGATGACAAAAAGTGCAATTAGAAAAACACTTAAGGTCACCACTCGTCATAGCCAACCACGAAAAAGCACAAGCCATGAAAAAACTTTTCACCACCAATCCTTCCCGGTGAAGTCCTGCCGATGCTTGGGGACCGAAAAGTCTGTTGTGCAGCATTTTAGATCATCAACTGGGGAATACAGGCAAAATCAAACCAAGTCTCAGAAAAAATGTTCAAGACCAAAAAACCAGGGTGCAAAAACCTTGCAAAAAACGGGTCGCCACATGTCATGAAAAATTATCGTCGTTTGTGACGAGACCTACGTCGACCCTGATCCCTTAAAGAGTTCGAAAAGCACCTTTTTTGACTCAGGCAACCCAGTGAATGTAAATTATCAACAGATTATAACAAGTTATACATACATGAAATCCAAATTCCCTGTAAAATTCCAAGCAAGGCTTACATTGAGTCAGATGGCCTTAAAACTGAAAACCCTCCAAATGTCCCTATTTGCGAGAAATTGAAAATATTTGAGCCTTAGGCAAAAGAAGTTACTCCAACCTTCGCTCCAAGGCGAAAAACCTGGTAGGATTCGAACGTTAATGGCACAAAATCAATCAGGACATTTCGGAATAGGGTGGAAAACCGCAAATTTGAGTTTTGGTGCGGAAAGTCAGATTGGTGGTGAAGAACGGAGAAAAAATAAATCCTCCGCAGCAAAAACTGGTTGGTATGGTTCCCACCTATTGTGACATTGTTGTTATACACAAAATTATTGCACCCTTATTTTTGTCTGTATCGGAATCGGAGCAGAAAAACTTTTTTTGATTTTTGGGGCTTTTCTACTCTAGATATTATTATTAAATACTCTAAGGCAAAAACTAATTGGGACACGAATATGTCGTATTCCTATTTTCGGTATGTTGCGCCATACAATACTCAACAATCCAAGAAATCAATTGTTCGAATTAAATAAACAATCCTAAAATTTGGGATGATTATTAAATACTTATTTAGTGCAGGGACTGGCACGTGGCGAAATAGCAATTTGGTGAATAAATCAAAAAATCAAAACTAATGCTTTTAAAATGAAATTAAAATTCTTTGATGGGTTTTGTAAAGTTTTAGATATAAATGGGTCAAATAATCTCCACCGTTGGACTTAAAATGTTAGTTTTATGAACTACACCCTTCATCAAAATGGGGAGAGGAATATGTTGAAAGCATTTAAAATATTCAGCGGCACGTATTTAGGTTTTGGAGCACATATTTAGGACATCCTTTGGCACTGACCACTTCCTTGGACGCGTCGCAAATGATGCTTGAAAAAGCGCCGAACTGGTTTCCATACCTTTCTTTCCTCCCACCTACATATTGAATGGGCGCATTTTCTCTATGAAACACATAGCAAATCGATCTGGTCCCTTTGATATCATCTACTTCTATGTATGTATTATGTCAGGAGGAATCTCATTTACTTCTAACTCGCCTTGTCAGAAATTAAATTGCCACGAAGTACACGTGTTGCAAGTTTATCTAAAGTATTTGAAACCAGTTTTGTTTTATATTTTCCTAGTTTTTGGCAAAAAAGTTTCAAAAATTGATCCAGGATGGGGGGACATCCTCTGGAATCTGTAATAGTCTGTTATGTAAGTGGTAGCTTGGAGAAACGCTAATTTCGTGGGTCTAAAAAATGACCTATCACTGCCATACGTAGTTTGTTTTGAGGCAGCTGAAAAACCAGAGTTACCAAAACCTTCTTGACATATAATCATGCAAAATTTAGTACCGATTCGCAAGTTAAAAAATAGCAGACGAATTAACCGAGTGCACCTATTTCCAGATTGAACCATATACACAAATAAAACCATTATTTTTTAAAATAGTGTACATGCGAAGATGGAAACGCACATGGAAACTTTTGGTAACGAGAAGAGAGAAATGAGAAGCGCGAAAAGATAATGGACATTCATTGACACTGTAGAAAATCCTAGTGAAAAATTCACAGACTTTACGGCCCGTTTTCTCCTGTCAGATGTTAATGTCTCCAAACTCCGTACATATCGCCAAAAATCGCCAAACCAAGCTAAGCTTTGACAGATAATGTGTTTTGCAAATTTGATAAATTTGTAATTGACACTAAATCGTCAGCTTAACATTTTTTCTGTCGTTGGTGACATATTTCTGCGTAGCTCATACCGGGTTTTGTATATGACAAAATTCCTGCTGCTCCGAAGACTCGCCACTTCATAATTTCTCATAACTTCATAATTTTCCTTTTTATTAATTTTTAATTCCTGCGCCAGTGCTTCGTTTCTTGCGGGTTTTTCTCATTTTTGCACTGCAAAGCAAGAAATGCAAGAAATGCAAGGTGCAAGAAATGCAAGAAAGTGCAAGAAACACAGCGCCATCTAGCGACGCGCCTACAGAACTATGGAGGCGGGCAGGAGTTTCTTTCACTTTGCATTTCTTGCGGGTAAAAATAGCTGCAAGAAACCAATTTCTTGCGGTTATTTCTTGCAGGTGGTTACTTGCACCCGAAACACTGCCTGCCCAACTAAAGTTTTTATCTGAACTCAACAATGATCACTATCAACTTTTCATATTGGACGACTCATGGTAAAATTTTCGAAATAACATTTTTAGGTTCAGGAATTTCATTCCGAGCGGTTGTTATAAATAATAGGGAGAAAATTTGTCTGAGCCATTCAGGTTACGCATTCGGAGTGGAATGATATATTTTTTGATGACGTATTAACAAAGCTACATGTATGTAGGAATGTAATGTATGGAAAACTGGCAAATAAGCGGCATTCCCCCCGACGATGCAATTTTTTGTGTTGCTTTTATTTAATGGGGGGGGGGGTAGGGAGGACACCCTGCGCGCCAACGACCGTTTACACCCTGCTGAGATTTTCGAGGTGGGAAAGTATGGTTAAATAGATACGTGAAATTGTAATCCATATTAGATATATGTACATAAAAACATAATGAAGCATGACCAAATATTTTGTCCATTTGTAGAGTAATAAGTATGTATGCATGAATAGAAAGCAATATATTTATTGGGCAATAATTTTTCGTTGTAACCAGGCTATCTAGTAAAATATTAAACATTTGAAGAACGTCAGTCCCTAATTGAGCACAGAATGAATATTTTACGCAAAAGTACAAGATGGACAAGAAATGCAGAATAAGTTTCACTTTAAACTCAAGTTTAAATTATCTTTGTATTGTGTATATTAATTAACTATGAGATTAGATAACATTGATGTACACTTCACGGAAGGCCTTTTACAATCCTATATATATGAACCTTTCTCGCTGAAGATTTATAGCCAGGATGGATATCGATATGGTAGTGTTTTGTCTTTTTACACCTGCAAATTGGTGACATTTATAAGCAAGATAATTGATTAGGATTTTTAAATTAAGACACGGTACGGAATATCTCCGAATCTTCTCCTACGACTCATCTGTTAGGATACACATACCTGTGTATGTCTACCAATCATGTATGGAATTTTATATGTAAGGTTGTTACAATAAGTGTGCGTTTTTTACTTTGGGGCTGTAAATATTTAGTGGAAACAATATATATATACGTAGCGGGGATCGGGCTGTTCATTACTTATGTCGGATGAATAAAATTTACTGCATATGAGGAAAGCCTTATGTACTTCAGGACATGGTAAGGGTATAATTTTTATGAACAGACATAAATAAATACATATACACCGATATTTACTCGACGCTATTGGTGGACACTAGATTAGATCCAATTCTAATTATTTGCTCCATTTACTTGTCTCTGGATAATAATTAGATATTCTAAAACATAGAACACATCGCTCATTCCAAGGCTTGTTAAGAATCTATCTATTTATGTAGTAGGATTTAAATATTTATTGCCATGAATACACACATATAACCTAATGGTCAGATCAAAGCATTCTTAGCGACAAAAAAAACATGCGAAATTCCGGTTCAGTTTCTGCATAAAATTTTGCCCTACATAGCGCTTCAACCTGCATTCGCGCAACACTTTTTTGAAATTAGTATAAATTTTATTAGACACATTATGAGTGTAGGCACCACTGACTTGTTGAAATTATTCGTGGTACACTCGCTAACCAAGAGAATGTCACATTTATTCGATATACATAGAATACAGATACAATATTGCTAAAATCCAGCAATCTCGGACTATCTATTATGTGTTACTCTGTCCAGTCTCACACCAGCCCAAGTATAAGTGCTAGAGGCCGTCCATAAATTACGTTACGCGAGAGGGAGGAGGAGTGTCTAAGCCTCCCATGGTATAGTGTCAATGTTTCATATGTTAAAGGGGGAGGGCGGGGGGAGGGCTGTCTAGAAAATCACGATTTTTGCCTTACGTAATTTATGCACAGCCCCTTATTCATATCGTTGCAGCAGTCCAAGTATGGGCCAGATATGATTCACCTATGGTTCTGATGAGCAATCAGGGTTTTGCAGGTATTTAACACGTGTGGAGGACGTAAATACGATGAGCTATACCCAGAGCTCGGTGATTATTGGTTTTTGAGGGTGGATTAAGGATTATGGATTAACCACAAAACAATGTGGATTGTGATTAAATTATTTTCGTGACATTAATTCATGTCAGGATTAATCCGGATTAATCCATAAATTCTGAAAATTTCGGGATTATGGATTATGGATTAATAATCCGGATTAATTTGGTGATTAATGATTTTTCACTATATCTAGCGCAAAAAATTTCAACTACGTGGTTTCACATAAAAATGATGCCAGTTTCAATTGATACATATATGTATGTAGCACAGGGCAGCGAGAACATGTTGATTCTTCAAATGGTAGCTGACAGAACAACATTGTGAGAACTTGAGACTTCAAGCTACACTGTGGGATGAATGGAACTATGGGAATTGAACTGAGTAATCCAGCTTGAGAATTAATCATGAATACGTAGTAATCATGATTTGGATTAATCTGGATTAATAATCATGATTAGTAATCATGATTGGGATTAATCAGGATTAGTAATCCGTAATCACGATTATGGATTAATGAAATCAAATGGGATTATTCCCGGATTAATTCTAATTCCAGAATAATCGGGATTATGGATTGGGATTAATCTACAAAAAACTCACATTTCCGGATTAGGGATTATGGATTAATAATCCATAATCCGGGATTAAAATCCATAATCCTTAATCAGGATTATCCCAGCTCTGGCTATACCCACAATGCTTCACACAATATTTGATATTCCATCTTCACAACTGATTGATAACTGAAATAATACTCACTTACTCATTATCTCTGTCGGAATAAACTTTTTCTCTCCTGGCTCTCTAAACTAAAATTCATCCACTCATTCAACCATCCATTTAACACAAATTGAATACACATTTATAAGTTATAGTTTTCAAAAATGCTGAAATCCAGTCCTTATTCTATTGCCACGGCAGCTGGTAATACTTTGGTAATAAAAAACCCTCAAGTAAATTCTATTCAAATTAACGTTTCCTTATACATATTTCCTTACAAAAATTTTAGTACCCTAAATTTTCCACGGATTTGAAACCCCCGTGGTCATCATCGACTGGGTTTGAACTTGTCGAATCTGAGGCACTGGGAAAAGGTGCATTCGGAGAAGTTTTCAAGGCTCGACATCGCTTGGACTTAATTGTTTACGCCATTAAGCAAATCGACATTTTCCCAGCCCTTTTAAAATTTCGAGGACAGAGTACAGGTGATGATTCGCTTGACGAACTATTAGCAAAACTAAAAAGGGAAGTCGTGTTACATAGCAAGATCAATAGCTCGTTCGTTGTTCGCTACCACAGTCACTGGATTGAGGGACCGGGATCAGATCAATTCAAAATTAACGAGATTGAAAATCTGGTATCGTTGGTTTTAAAAAATGTAGGAACTGCAACATCAGGAGAAGGCAGCAATTCGGATTCAGGTAAATTAATCGAAAAATCTTTTATTTAGTTGAATTACAGAACAAATAATTATGCGCGCCAGTTAAACAAATTTTCCATTCAATTATATTGGGGGTACTCATCGCAAGTTTGCATGTTTGCTTTGCAACATATTTTTTGAGAAATATTTTACCAACTTAAGCCACCCTTGGAGATGAGCAAGTTGGCAAATCAATTCTCAAACCAAAAAAGTTTGCGAAATTTGCGAACTGTATTTTTTGCTAATTTGCTAACGATACGAACCTGTTATGAGTCCCCCCAATAATTTGCTATTCATTTTTTAATTTACTAGATTTGTTGACCCAGTAAAAATATTTTCAATTTAGTTACGACAGCTATAAAACGTTTTACTGCTCGGTTTGATCAAAAATTAAATACTGGTCCTTACTTTGTTCTGTCTCTAAATCTTTCAATTAAAATCAAAAAGTTTCCTCATTCTACATATCATCTCAAAGACGAGTATATATTTCAACACTGATTTTTTACTGTTTACTCATCACGTGGTTTTGCAAATATTTAATTTAATCATGCCATTATGGATTATTCAAGGAATACATACATACATATAGGGTTGCCGCGGGTAGCGAAAATGCTACCCGTTACCCGACCCGCTACCCGCAGCACAACTACCCGTACCCGCACGGGTACCCGTGCGGGTACCAGTTACCCGCTACCCGTAATGAAAATTGACTTAAAACCTAACCAGCCTTAAGAATAAATTCCATTTAATTAATTGGCTCATTTGGGTTGATATGTAATTTCAGATAATGCTACGCAAGTAACGAATGCCGTAAATTGCTATGGGAATATCCGCAGTTGTTCTGAAACCAAACTTTTTGACTTGCAATGGAACGTTTTTCAAACTACATCGGGATTTCTTAACGAATGATATCAAAAAATCAAGTTAAAAATTAGGAATTATCACTAATCTTTCCCTTGAATAGCCCGTAGGAAACTATTTGGATCAGAGTTCAAAGTCCACCATGATTTTCGTCCAGTGGAGGAATAAGATGCTGAACATTTACTTAAAAATCGAACTTTGCCTCCAATATTTTTCTTTAAAGTGGACATTCAACGGAAAGTATCATGTGATTCCTAATTTTTGGCTTGACTTTTTAATATACTCTCTAGATAATCTTGGTGTAGCTTGAAGAAAGGTTCAACTTTTAGTTTGATTTTTTTTGGAATTTGATTTAAATTTAAGTTTTCATTTTAAAAATATCTACAAATAAAATTTTAGCCTTCAATCGGATTCAGGTTTTTCATCTTCAACGAACAAATTAAAATCTCGTCAGTCTTACACAAATAAATAAATACAAAATAAATACAAATAGATACATAAATAAATACAAGTCAAATTGTTACTCAGATTTTAGAGCAGGCAAATTTTACTTGAGAAACAATAATTTCATTTTAGGGACGTGAAAAGCATATCAGGCTGCCATAGGCTTCCGTGGCTTCCGAAAAGACACGCACGCTATAAACCCTAGTTGCTGGAAAATAGCAAATTTTGAAATAGATAAATAATAAATTGACGCTTTTGTTGATAAATGGACTAACTTGCTGCTAGCTTTCTTTGTGAACTGATATATGTCGAGAATTAAATAAAAACAGAACTACCCGTTACCCGTGCGGGTAGTTCTCGCTACCCGCAGAAAACGGGTACCCGCAAGAATCGTGCGGGTATGCGGGTAACGGGTACCCGACCCGTTACCCGCGGCAACCCTACATACATACATAATTTATTGAACGAGAGTTAAAAAATGGACCGCAAATAATCTATATTATAAGCTGGAAATGTTTGTCTGCAACGGAAGTGAAAGTAATTTTCCGTGACGGAAGCAGAAGTGGAGAGAGATTCACTTCCCTTGCCGACAGACTTGTCACCTAATAATATAGATACAATAAAAAAAATTCGGTAGAACTATGAACAATCCCACTTAATTTTCATGAAAATCAAATAAGCCCGTCGCCCGGTGGGAGACGGGCTTATACGCTAGTTATTCATATTTTGTTTGTTTTAAGATTTCTGGGACTCAAGCACAGCTATCTATTCACAACCCACTCCAATGTCAACAGTCCAGCGAACATTTCTTTATATCCAAACAGAATTTTGCAATCAAACCAGCCTCGATAAGTTTCTTATTAGTGCAACCGAATCCGAAAAACTTTCAGAGTTTCCAAGAATCATTTACCAAACGGCTAAAGGCCTCAGTGCTATACACGCTCAAGGAATAATTCACCGAGATTTAAAACCAGATAATATTTACGCGACAAAAAAAGCAGGGAGAGATTTGAATATTTGGAAAATTGGAGATTTTGGACTTTCAATTAAATTTGGGCCCTCACCTCCAAATTTATTTGATGCCTTGGAATTTCAAATAGATTCGGAAGGATCTTCCCTTGAAAGTTTTAAAGGAGCGGACACCTTCAGAAGTCCGGAGATGTATAATCAACATCCGTACAGCAGTAAAACGGATATTTATTCCTTAGCGCTGATTTTTATCTGCGTTCTATTTAAATTTCCCTCGGTTAAGAAGCGTCGTGCATATTTTATCGATCTACAACTGGGGCATTGCACGCCAGAAAGTGTCCACTTGCAAGAGACAATGGACAATAATCCCGAGACAAAAATTAAATATTGCTCTCTGATTGAAAAAATGCTGAGTCATAAGCCCGGTAAGGAATTATTTCAAGTAAATATGCATACAGAGGTTGAACGGGCGAAAAAAGACCACTTTCAAATTATTTTTCGTATTAGAGGAAATTTTTTTTCGAATTATTTTTGTTCTCAATCTGATAACCCTTATTGTTGTTTACCGCTCTGCATCTTGATTTCAAATCAAGGTATGATGCATCGTCATCTTTGTACCTAAATTTTGAAGAAAATTGGGAATACAAACAGATTGCCTTGTAGACAAAATATGCAAATTTCGACGAATTTGGCCAAACCATGCAAATTTTGGAGCCATATTTAGGTGGTCTTTTTTCGCCCGTTCAGCCTCTGTATGTTCGTATAGTTAGCAACTTGGCAAACAAAATACAGTTCTCAAATTATTTTACATGTTTACAAAATGAAGTGTTTTAAGTTGGCAAAATATTTTTCAAAAAAGATGTCGCGATGCAAACATGCGAACACGTGATAAGTATGAATCCATGTCAAATTGACCCCGTCAGATTTCCCCGGTCATATTGACCCCGCGACAGATTGACCCCACGTCATATTGACCCCGCGACAGATTGACCCCACGCCATATTGACCCCGCGACAGATTGACCCCATGTCATATTGACCCCGCGACAGATTGACCCCACGCCATATTGACCCCGCGACAGATTGACCCCCGGCAACTATTAGTTAATACACACATAAATACTGTATATTTTTAGCCCGAGTCAGGGCTTATGGAACCGTCATGTCCGTCCGTCTGTCTGTCTGTCTGTCTGTCCGGCACGACAGAGCCAAAACGGCTTAACCGATTGACTTGAAATTTTTACCATGTGCATACTGGGCAAAGTTAAGAAACGAGTTCGAAGATGGGCGAAATCGGTCCAGTGGTTGACCGGCGGGGGTCATCGGAGTGGGTGGGGTATTATGCACGAAATTTCAAAGTTGTCGTAGAGAGCTGAAATTTAGTACAGAGGTTGCTAATGGCTTATAATGCACAAAAACTCATTCAAATTGGAAAAATTGTTATCTTGAGGGACCCTATGGTGTGACCCATATTGATTTTTCAAAAATCATCATATTAAACTGAAATTTGGTAGAGATGTTGCTTATAGGTCCCATTGGAAGAATATGAAAAGAAATTGTAAAATTTTTATCTTGAGCGACCCTATGGGGTGACCCATACCGATTTTTAGAAATTGCTTTAAAAAGATGAAATCTGGCAGGGTAATACTTAATGGCTTATCATTAAAGAATATGAAGTTAAAAGTGAGCAAAGTATAACCAGAGTGATCCTGGAGGCTGACCCATACCGTTTTTAAAAGTTGTTATTTCCATCTGAAATTTGGTATGGGGATAAAAACCACTTCTGGATAGCACACACAGCTATGAAAGTTCAAGATGTTAAGGGATTTTATGCCAAATAATAGATATTAGTGTGTAAATACATTAAGTAGTACCTGTATCTATGGCCTGGGGTCAAACTGTCGCGGGGTCAATCTGTCGCGGGGTCAATATGGCGTGGGGTCAATCTGTCGCGGGGTCAATATGACATGGGATCAATCTGTCGCGGGGTCAACATGGCGTTGGGTCAATCTGTCGCGGGGTCAATCTGTCGCGGGGTCAATATGACGTGGGGTCAATCTGTCGCGGGGTCAATATGACCGGGGAAATCTGTCGCGGGGAAATCTGACGGGGTCAATTTGACGCCCTACCGATAAGTATGCACCACATGCGTTTATTTTTTAAAATGTTGACATATTTTACTCTTAACTTTTAGACGAAAGACCTGACGCCTTGGAAATTTATAACCAGACAAGTACTCCTTTACATTTTTATAAGCGAGGAAATGAATTACTGGACCCCTCAAGGATTTACGGGAGAGAAGCTGACCTGACCAAGTTAGACACTTTATTCCAGAAAAACAGTAATTTCCTCATTATCACAAACTCTGAAAAGTATTCCGAACTAAGTCTTGGAAAAACGGCATTAGTCCACAAATTCCTGGCAACTTCCCCACGACTCAAAAACTATTCAACGATTTGGCTCGAGTCTTCCACGGAAGACTTATTTCTGCAGCAACTATTTAACCTTTGTGACGAACTAGATATTCCAACCAGGCAGCCGGGTGCCATAAATTTTACCCGGGCAATAGAAGAAATCTTAAAAGATTTGTGTAATTTTTTAACGGGTAAAAACACTGTAATTGTATTTGACGACTTATTCTCCAGTGAAAACATCGCAATCAGTGATACCATCGCGAAATTAATTCAGAATGTTGCAAATATAAAAGAGATATTTTTCATAATTACAACCACCCATGTTAACCCGATGCCAAAATCTTTGTCAATTGCGCCAGAAAATAATTTGATTCCCTTAAAAGTTTTAAATATTCAAGACGGACTGCTCCTACTAAACTCAGAACTTGGCTTATTTCCCGAATCAAGACAAAGTTACGCAACCCTTCTAAATGTCCTTCATTCCAACCCAGCCGCTCTAACGAACGCTATTAAAGTCATATCCGGTTGGCAAACAACCCGAGGTATTCTCATCCCATTCGGTGTAATTCTTTGCTCTAGAAAAGTCCTAACTTTACGGAAAGGTTTGACAAACTTAAAAAAAATAATGGAACCATTAGGATACAGTACGAACAAATACGTTATGTCCACCCTCACAACTTTTGTCCAGTCAAATTTCCACGTGCAAAAATTTTGCAACGAAAATGAACTATCCTCCACAATTTTATCCTTTTTATACTGCATCTACCCGGAAAAGGTAGCGGTAGATTTGAAACTTTTCCTACACCTCTTACCAACCGTAGACATACAACGGACGCTGGAATTAATGCAAGATTTCAATCTAATTAAGGTAGAAAATAATGACATTTCTCTCGTCAAGAATGCTTATTTAACTACAAATTTACCCGATATGGAAACCTTTCTGGATAAAACTCTTGCCACTTTCCAATCACTGATGCCAACCCGGGAAGAAAGTTGGGTTCCGATTGTATCCACTATTATTGACCAGGCTCAATCTTACCCAGACTTGATGAAAAAATACGTTCATTTTATCCTAGACATGAGCAATGTATTCCGCTTTTACAAAAACTTCAAGCAAGATATCTCCATCAGATTGAACGCTTTCAAAAAATGTTTTGGACCAGAACACGAGCATACGCTGAGCATGGAAAATATTTACATTTCAGGCTTCTTCGAGGACGGAAAATTTCAAAAAGCTTTAAACAAATGGAAGAAACTTGGCGATATAACGGGGAGAAGATTGGATCAAAATCACTGGCTAAATATTGACGTTAAACACGCCGTCGCTTTGTTGCATCACAATCTCGGAATGTTTCTCGAAGCGAGGGAGGAATACGAAAAATTGTTGGAACTCGACATAAAAAATAATTCGACACGAATCAATGTAAAAGCTAATTACGCCCTAACCTTGACTGAATTAAGGGATGATGAAAAAGCACTTTCTTTGCTAAATGAAGTTTTGGCCTTTTATCGAACTACCGACCAATTCGGGGATGAGAGTGAAGGCGTTATAACGGCTAAATGCCGCATAGCTGCGATTTATTACCTCCAAGACAGATTTTCAGAAGCACTCCCAATCTTTAAGGAGGTATTGGACGTCCGCACAAAAATGTTTGGGGAAGAATACGGGCTAACGTTGGATGCAAAGGGTTGGGTGGTTAAAACCATTTCTAAAATTAATGGGAAAAATATCAACCAAAACTTAACCGAGGCGATAACCCAAGTGTTTCGACATGTTCATTCCGTTCGGGAGAAAGCGTTTGGAAAACGACATCCAGAAACTGTCGGAAACTTAAGGAACTTAGCGGTGCATTTATTGGAACACGGGAATAATAAAGATCATATTGTTGAAGCGAGAGACATTTTTGGACTTGTTTTGTCATTAAATTCCGAACTATTTGGAGAATCACATCCAATTACTTTGGATACGAAAACATTCCTGGCACAAGTTTTGGAAAAAAGGGAAGATTTCAATGGCGCCTTAAAAATTTATGAAGAGATTTTGAAGAGTCATGAAACAATCTTTGGAACAGAGCATAAGACAACTGTTAAAACTAAATGTTCCGTTGGCAGAGTATGGTATGAATTGAAACAATTTGGAAAAGCTAAATCCATTTTTGAACAAATTTACAGTAGAAATAAGGCCTTCGAGAGGGAAACCAAGGAAACGCTTTATGCTCGGTTAAATTTTGCAATGTCGTTGAACAAGTGTGGCGCAAGGGAAAAGGCGATGCAAGTATTCGGAGAAATTTTAAAGCTTGAAGGAGAATTTGAGAAGGATGACAAAAGTAAAGAAATTTTTGAAGCTACGCGCAACCGGATGGAGGAAACTAGTAAGATAATTAAAAGATAATTAAGTCAGTGACCATCAAATGGAAAGTCTACGTCGGGATGGAAAATATTGTTAAAATCTGATTCTAGTAATTATTTAATTAGACAAAAATCTAAGTATTCCAGCCAAATTGTAATAGGCATGTGCATGCCTATTACAATTTTATTTCGCAAATTAAATTATTTTTCAAATACTTTTAAACCATGTATGTAGCAGGCATACAATAAAACCTACACACTTAGAAAACTGGTATTACATAAATCATTACCGACCGGGGTTAATGAATTACCCACTAGTTAAACTAGTCGCTCATCAGTATGCTAATACGTACGAAAAAATTGAAACGATTCCAATCTCTTGGAACAGGAAGAAATAACGATTCTCTTACAAAATCATAAGCTGGAAATGTTGGTCTGCAACGGAAGTGAAAGTAATTTTACGAAACGGAAGTGAAAGTAATTTTACGAAACGGAAGTGAAAGTAGAGAAAGTCAAGTTTCGAATGGCGCTAAAATTCAAAATAGATGAAATTCAAAAAATTAAACGCCTAATGGTAGTTGTCTGATGGTGGTTATCTTCTGGTAATTGAATATCCCGGAGTGGTTATCTGATAGTGGTCATCGGGGTGTGGCTTCTTGATGATGTTTATCGGGGCGTAGTTGCCCATTTATGTGTGTTTATTTTTGGTGGTTATTAAGAGGGATTATTTATCTTCTTGAATGCCTTCGCCATTACCGTTGCCATGAAGCAGTCTGAATATAAAGGGTGTTAATAAAGTCCGATCCCATGCATTTTTTGGAGCGTGGTTGTTACAAATTCAGCTGGAACTTTTGAACCAGTGAAGTTATTTATTTCAAATTTTTACCATGGGAGGAACAACTAAACGTGTAAGTCATGAGCATCTTAGAGTTGAGATACAAACATTGCATCAGCAGGGGCTTAAACCTACAGAAATTGTGCAAAAATTGGGCTGCAGCCGCAGAACTGTTTGGAAATGGAAGAATAAAAATTTTGTCCACGACAAAAAGCGACCAGGGCGACCCAGAAAGGTGTCACCTACCACAAAAAGAATGATTAAAAACAGACTTTGCAAGAAAACCGGTAGTTCATTACGTAATTGAGCAAGGGAGTTAAATGACTCAAAACGCTATAAAGAGAAGAAGAAGCAAATTAACTGTGTGACCGTGCAAAAATTTGTGAAAACTACGAAGTGGGGTCACACAGCTTACAAACTAACCAAAAAAACCTCTCATGTCACAAAAATATATCGATGACCGTCTGAAATTTGAAGAACTCCTTCAGAAAAGTGCCCATTTGAGTGAAAAAAGACTTGGTGAAGAATTGCGCAGTCACATCCTTTGGACTGACGAATCTATTATTGAACTATATCCAAAATTGAACCAACAAAATGTTCGTTACAGGACAGAAAACAAATCGGATGTACCATCAAGAGCGATCCCAAAATTCGGGCTTAAAGTTATGGTAGCGGGTGGATTTTGTGCACGTTGCGTGACCCCTCTACATATCATACCAAAAGGCAAATCAGTCAATGCAAAGCATTATATGGAAAAAATATTACCTATCTATTTCGATAGCATGGGGAACAAGGAAATATTTCCGAATGAAAGAAAAATAGTTTTCATGCAGGATGGTGCTATAGCCCATACAGCAAAAGCGAGTTTGAGTCTCATCAAGACGCAAGTTTCAACGGTCTGGAGCAAGGGGGTGTGGGCCGCTAACGGCCCAGATTTGAATCCCCTGAAGAACCATAGGTCCATACTTAAGGAAAATGTATACAAAGAGCCACAACCCCGGACGAGGGAAGAGCTAGTAAAAAAAAGTTCAAGATGTATGGAATTCGATTTCCAGAGGCACATTGGAAAAATTAGCACAGAGCCTTAAACAAAGAGTTGAGGGCATGGTTAAAGTAAATGGTAACAAGACCAAATACTAAGGTAAATATGTCGAACATTTTTTGTAAGTATCACGGGTAGTTTTTTTTTATACTAGCCTTCACTTTTTTACAGGAAAAATGGGATCGGACTTTATTAACACCCTGTATATGAACGTTCTCTGCATAAATTTGTAATAATTTCTGGGTGCCAATACGTCCCAACGAAAATACGGGTTTATCCCACCAAAATTAATAATATCACCAATTGTGAAATTTGCAACGGATTTCATTTTTCTTTCCAACGAAAATGTGAAACCATCCACCCAAATCATAGACATTTTGCATATCCTATTAGTCCAGGTTGCCTATAATATTATTGAAAACATAAATGGATGGGTAGATGTGGACATGTATTTTTATCATCCACCAACACCGTCACTAAAAATATAGGTCTCCCAAAGTACATATCTATGCATTCATGGCAATAAATATTTAAATCCCACTACATACATAAATAGCTAAATTCATAACAAACCTTGGAATGAGCGATGTGTCCTATTTTTCTAGAATATCTAATTATTATCCATAGACAAATTAATGAAGCAAGTAATTAGAATTCGATCTAAATAATGTAGTGTCCACAAATAGCGTCGAATAAATATCGGTGTATATTCATAAAAATTATATCCTTATCATCTGCTGAAGTACGTACATAAGACTTTTCTCATATTCAATAAATTTTTCCCATCCAACATATGTAATGAGCAGACCGATCCCTGCTAAGTATATTTTTTCCATTAAACAGCTCCATGGGAAAAGACGGATACTTAGGATTAGTGGAACAACCTTACATACATATGTAAATGCTTGGTAGACATGTTTGCACATAAGCATCCTAAGAGAAGATTCGGAACTATTCCGTACCGTACTTTGGCTTGATTTCAAAATCCAAATCAATTGTTCTGCTTGTACATAAATGTTACAAATTTGCAGGTCCAAAAATTTGCGAAAGACAAAACAATACAAGATCGATATCCATCCTGGCTATAAATCTTCAGCGACAAAGATTCATATAGGATTGCAAAAGCCCTTCCGTGAAGTGTACATACATAAATATATCTTATCGTATAGTTAATTAATAATATACATAATACAAAGATAATTTAACCTACCATAATGGAACTTATTCTGCATTTCATGTCCATCACGTTGTACTTTGGCGTAAAATTTTCATCGTGCACTCAATTAGGGACTGACGTCCTTCCAATATTTAATATTTTACTAGGTAACCTGATTACATGCGACATCCAAATACTGCACGACGGGTCACACCTTAATATAGATTGGTTCAATATAAACTTGCCAACAAAACTTGTGAACATGTCTGGATTTAAATATTGGGATCATGTAAAGACACGACTCGATATATTCAAAACACGTTCGTCTCCATATAGCAAATTTGCCATCTTTATTTCCCAACCTTATCATCAAGCTGCAGGAGAAAATCTTAATCACGATTTAAATTTGGATAATTGGATATCAAGTGCGACTGATGGCCACCTTAATTTTAAGAAAGTACTGTCTGACACGGACGATCATATGTTTTCACATATGATGCAATGCAAGGATATCGTTGTTGCATTTGTAGCTACACAGAATTACAGAAAGAATCTAGTATCAGTCCATTTTTCGTCTCATCTATATCATAAAATTTCCGTAGTTTTAATCTCACGAGAAAACCTAAATGTTGAAGTTTGTGCGTGGTCTCATGTGGCTTGGAATGTAAGTCTTGGGATATCTAACCTTTCTGAAAATTTGAGATGTACTACAAAACGGAAAAGCGCCATCTTGGACACTATCGAAGGCATTGTGCACCTCTCCTCGCCTAGATGGTGTTGCGAAACACAAATAAAAAAATCTCTTTCGAACTAATACAAAAGAGTTCAAATCCATTTCACCCCATGGTTACGGAATCTCAGTTAGAAACTATTGTAAATATAATATCTTCAGCGTCCAACGAGACCATAGAATTTTCCAGCTTTTGCAAAAGTTTTAACTTCAAAATTCTGGTTGATTCTCGACCCAAAGGTTACTTCGATTCTTCAACTTCCATCACAACCGAAACGTCGGGATATCAATTTTTATCCTGTTATCGTGAGGAGTACATCACATTTAAATTCTATATTACTCCATTTAAGCCACTGATTTGGATGTCTTTGGCAATCGCACTAACGTTAATTATAGTAATTGCATCTGCCTATGGATTTTATAACAAAATCTCATTTCCACCGTGGTTGTTCGTTTTGGCCAACATTTTCGAAGAAACGATCCCTGTTCCTATTACTATTCGGGCAGATTCATTCTTTCGCCTCATCCTGGGCTCATGGTGTCTTGTTTCTGTAATTTTGACCAACTGCTATAATGGAATTATGATATCAGAACTTAACTCACCCCTGAGTTCTTTTCGTCCAACTTCATTTGAACATTTGATATGCCAAAAGATTTACAAGGACGATGTTTCTAAATTATCCAAAAATACGGCTGCTTATCAGAAATACATAATGTATAATAAGGAAAATCGAACTTATACAGTTCCACTGATTCTACCTCATATAGCCCTCTCAACTCAAAGGTTTAAACAAACAGAGTGGTATGTGTACGTCCTCTATATTGTACAGGGACCCTTTGTGCGAAACAAATACAAATTTTGGTCTGAATATATCCATAATCGGAAAGAAGGCTTCAATTCTAATGAATGCTTCCATTTGTTATCTTTGCGACGCGAATATGCAGTCTTTCCTGAGTTCCTTGAATACTTATATAACTACTTTTGGATAAACGTGCAGAACGAAAATAATGAAAAGCTCATTAGCGAACGCTCAACTAAGCTCGTAAGTTTGATGAACCCTAGGCACATCCATCATCCAAAAGGATTTAACCAGTACAACCAAAATCAAACGAAACTACAGATGCGCAATAGTATAGAAGAGGAATTAGTGGATTGCAAGAAGTCAGTACTTATTACGAAATCGGACAATATTGATGCCGAACTTCAATTTCTGAAAAGGCATTATTCTTCTAGAAAATTTTATAAAGGCGAAGAAACGTTAGGGATTGGTAATTATGAATGGAAATTTCGCTACGTCGGGAATTCCAGAGTCCCTAGATATTTTCAAGACTTGATTGAAAATGGAATATATGGACGATTTCGAAAGGAAGAAATCCGCCAAGAATATTTTCATCGGAACCCGGTAAAGCAAATCGGAATTCAAGAGTTGGCGCCAGCTGTTGAATTGCATGGGGCACTCTTAACACTATTCATACTTTGCGGGGGTACTCTGTTAGGAGCTTGTTTCGTATTTATGATTGAAATTCGTAAGAAATTTTGCCATTGGTTGAAAGCATAAAAAAGTCTTTAGCCACTAGAATACTAACCAAAAATTTCTTACATATGTATGGTTTTCTGTAGTTATATAGAACTAGCCTAGAAGTCCGTACTAAAGACAGGTGACATGAAATTTTTGACGCGGCCAAGGAATTTTTTTGGTGTTTCTAAACATTTTTCTACGTTGTTAAAAAAGTTTCTATGCCGTTACTAAGGAGGGGAGCTTGCGAGGTTGATAATAACAGATCCTGATGCCCTTTGGATATGTGGTAGGGTCTCATGAGTGTACTAAAACCCTGAAGTGGTTTGACTCCATGGCCACATTTGCGCCCGCCACACCCACTCAAAAATGCCCAAAAAACGCTTTCACACCAGTCTTCACTCACTCAAATCCACGCAAAAAATCCAATTTTACTCGGATTTTGAAATTTCTTTCACCATTACACTCCCAGATAGTTGCTTTCTTCAATCCAATATCAAACTCAATATTTTCGAAATTTTTAGTATTTTTAAAATTTAAAATTCTGAATGAGCATTGTTGTAGTAATCAACAACGCAAATTATCCCTGCGAAATAATCATCAGCAAAATTGGATTGAAGAAAGCAACTATCTGGGAGTGTAATGGTGAAAGAAATTTCAAAATCCGAGTAAAATTGGATTTTTGGCGAGGTTTTGAGTGAGTCAAAACTGGAGTGAAAGCGTTTTTTGGGTATTTTTGAGTGGGTGTGGCGGGCGCAAATGTGGCCATGGAGTTAAACCACTTCAGGGTTTTAGTACACTCATAGGACCCTACCACATATCCAAAGGGCATCAGGATCTGTTATTATCAACCTCGCAAGCTCCCCTCCTAAGGTAATATGTAGATACATATGTACATATACATGGACTTTATTTTGAATAAATACCATTCATATTTACTGCAACTAAATATTGGTGGTAATTTCATTAAGCTAAATCATTTTGTGTTTCCAATGGATAAAAATCTATATGGTAAATATTTACACATATTACCAATTTTTATTTATTACCGGCTATTCAGAGCTTAAGTTATTACGAGTCGGTAACATATCACGTACATGTGTTACTCCATGAGTTATGGTTATAGACCTGATGTCGAAAATCGATTTTTCTGAAATCCTTCAAGTATGTGTTAGAGGAGCTTAAAATATGCAGAAAAATCAATTTCCTTTAATTTTTGAGGATTCCATGGGGAGGGGTTGTGGCTTCGTTGAGATACCACATTGACGCCGCCTCTAGTGCTTGCAGGGGATTCAAATTTCACTTCAACCTATCATGGGCCAATACAATCGCGGGATTTTTTCTCTTTTTCGAAATTAGGTGAGCTTTTTGAGGTCAAAATTCACAGCATGTCAAACTTGTCGGAAAAGTAAAAGTCTCACATCACCCCATAAATAGGGTATCGTTGGAGGGGTCTTGTAAATTGGATTAAGAATATATACTTTGTTGTGTGTATGACCACTCCCTGGTGTTCCAGGGGCACAACAATATTTTTGAGTTTTTTCCATCTATTTCTATGTTAAGCTCCCAATCTGCTGCTGTGTTAAGTAAAATCTGGAGAGATTGAAAATTCCCATTCTTCTGCTTCTGAAACGTCAAGGGGTGGTTTTAAGTTTGAGGTCAATAGATCACAAACTGCGATCACCAGAGTGCTATAACGGACCCCTTTTTTGGCGGATTGTGCTGGATTCAGCCTGTCGATTGTGCGGGCGGGAATTTGAGACTGGGAGGAGTAAAGTTTCGTGACCATCACTGTAATAACAATAAATAATTCAAATTTAAATCCGGATTTGCGTCCCGACGAAACCGGATAATTCAAAATCCGGATTTGACAGCCCTACATAATACAGAGTCTATTTTATGTCCCCACGCTTCCGCGGCAGGGTTCGGAAAACCCAACCCCGGGGGTTTTCCAGGGTTTTAGCGGTTTTTGTAGATTTTGGGGCAGGTTGAACCAAAATGCCTAAAACTATATATCGGATAAAAACTAATTTAATATACGGATTTACCATGACATTTTAGCGTTATCATTGACTTCTACTTTTGAATCGGAAATTCATGTTTAACATGTAAACCTGGAAATATGCAATGATACTTGGAAATTCAAGCCGCACATAAAAATTCTCAAAACTTCATGATCAATCCGACAATTTAATTAGCATTGATTTCAGTTGTAGTTTAAGGGATTTTGTTTCAATCTGCCCCAAAGTCTTACAAAAATCCTGGATAAACCCACAAAAACCCACAAAAACCCGCAAAAACCCCAAAAACCCCAACCCACAAAAACCCGGGGTGGCGAACCCTGTTCCGCGGCAGTCAAACTGGAACCTCTCTATCTCATAAAACTCACCATCAGCTGCTGCTCATTTTTTACTCTGCTAAATTTTCTCGTGAACTGCATAAATTTAAGTCGTGTCATATTAATTACATTGTTTAATGAATTCCCAACATATGTAACTATTTTTTTACCAACTATGGATCTACTACTGGTTGAACGTGTTAACAATTTATCCGCACAACTAAATAATTTGAAAAAATTTATTGAGATAAAATTCGGTAAGTACAAATATCCAGGGACCTTTAATCCTTATTGGATATAATAATTTTTAAAAACCGATGGTACGGAAAACAATTTTTTTTTTTAAATTAAAATTAAAATCCGCATTAATTATTATTCTAGTCAGTCACACATACTTTAAATGTGACGAGGACACCATTTACTTCATGTACGTTAGGGAATCACCTCAATTAATTATTTTTTTTGCATTTAAATAAATTTTAATGCAATTTCAACCCTTTATTCCAAAATATCATATCGGTAAATTTCAATATTATGATATTTCCTAACAAAACTAAGCTAAAAATCGTACTAACTACAAATATATTAAAATTAGATATCCTGATTTGTAGAAATTTTGCAGAAAAGTTAAAGCTACTTTTTCATATTTAGCTTTTATTTAATTATTTTTAATTAATTTTTCTATTTTACAGGTGCGGAGTATAAAGACTTTGAAAAGTTGGAACTTACCAATCAAGCGAAAGTCGTGGCTGATAAGGCGCCGCCCGTCATAATCTTCCCTGATAACCAGTCGCGACCCCATTTTGTCCAAAATACTGTTTCCCTCATGGACACAGGCTCAGTTGTGCCCCCTCAGCCCCCCCAACAGGATAAACCAAATTACCACGTGACCATCCTACCAACTTACATATCGACTATGAATTCAGCCACCTTGGTCCCCTACGCGGATACGAATTGTGCACCCCTACAAAATTCTGGAAACAGTGGAAATTTTATACTTCATGGTAGACTCGACCACATTAAAAAAAATACGATGTCCGATTTTGATGACATTACGATAATTATGTAACTAACAGATAAATAGATAATTGGACACGGATTTTTAATAATTCTTCTCAGTTTAAGCGAAATTACGATGGAATCCGTGAGCGAGAATTTTCATTTTTTTCCTAATGACAAAATTTTACAAGCAAAAAAATACCAATTCCGGTTACGGATTTCGTTTAAGCTAAGCAGAATTTTTTTAAATCCCGAAATATGTGTTCAATTTATCTAAGACTACATAAATATTGTAGATACTTAATTTCGTCAAAATCGGAACTCTAACATCAACGCGTTGTTAGTTAGCATGTAAATATTTATGCAAATTAATCAATTAATATGCAAATTAATAAATCATCCAGGTGGACCGATACCATCACCCAGCACTTTCTCCTCCCCTGCACAACCATTCGGTAAGGAGGCGGTAATATTTAAATGTTACCACTGCCCTGAGAATTTCAACGATATGAATTTGCGTCGTGCCCATTGGATTGCGCGACATTCCAATGTTTTTCGGCGCATCGAAGGGAAATATTATCACACGTGTTCATTCCCCGGGTGCAACAGGGATAACATGCTTACAAGCCGTTTTATGGCTCATTTCAGAAGATCACATCTCAAGAAGAAGAGAAAAATACTGACACCAAGGTATGTAGATAAGATAACAGTTTGGTCTTTTTTAAATGATGGTCTGGAGACTTGCATAATTTTTAAAATCGCAATAAATCGTGATTTTACAAATCCTGTTAACATGTGTCATACGACGGGGTGACAAATATGTAACGACAAAGATGTAACAGATATTTATGTAAACGACATTTATGCTACCCGACGAATATGTAAGCGACCCTTATGCAAACGATAAATATGTAACACGGAGGATTTCGCGAATTTTCAAAACGCATATGTGTCGGTTGCATATTGGTCGCTTACATATTTGTTGGATGCATAGCATAAATGTCGTTTACATATATTTGTCGTATCACTATAGATGTTAACCGATCTGTTTTCTTTTACCAGGAGGATTGCCCCTCAAACCGATTCTAACACCAATTGTATCGCAACCTTATCAGCCCCTTGTGACGATACTCTCGTTCCACATGACGCAACGGCTGTTGACCACACGGACAACTGGAACTGTAACACCGTACCCGAACACGTGGAGGAAGAGGAAGTCCAGATTATTAAACTGGAAGACTTCGACCTTCCCGAAAACGACCCGCTGAGATGTGATATTCCCCCCCAGACAGAACGTGGGAATGGTGATTTATCGCCGCCTAAACCGAAAAGCAGTAAAAATTTCGGCTCGTTCGGTTAGTGGAAAATATCTACTTTACATATTTTTTAATTAAAATATATGCTCAAAATATTTCTTGAAAATGCAAAATATTTCTTCCTGGGACCTACGATTTTGTAATTGCTTTAAGCATATTTTGATTTTTTTAAAATTACAGATACAGTATTTTTTTAAATAGCTTCCAAAGCCAAGTTTTCCAATTAACGAAATATTTATTTTAAAAATAAATACAGCATTTTATTTCGCTTTACATATTGCACTTTTAAATTTCGATAATTCCAAAGCAAATGAACAAAGTAAGGAATTGCTTCATGAAACTTTTTATGAAAGGGTTAAAAAATTAATTTTTAATTGTTTATTTTTTATAATTTTTTCTCAACTGGCAGCTATTGCTCCCTCTTTACATAAATACTTCAAATTTAAAGAATAAATTTCATTCAAGAAAAGACTTAAGGATGCGAAATGTATGGAAATATTTCGTAAATAATTTCCAATATACAAGTATCCCAGATAAATTATTGTTACTCGTAACAATTACCATTTTTCGTACACTGCATTTTAACCACTTTATCACTTTACATATCTTTCAGATCACTCGGAGCAGCCGCAAGTTGGCAAACCAAAACCTATCGAATGCCTCAGAGTCTCCTCAGAGATCAAATTAATTCCTACAAAGAAACCAAACCAACTGAAATCTTACCGCCGACCTTGGCCGAGTTAAGGATGCGAAAACAATGTCATCCGAAAGGGGGAGGGGACGACGACATGCTGAAGACTCTCTCCAGATCTCTGCCTACGACATGGGCGTAGCATTTATGTAAATTCGTGCCGTTTTACTAAAATAGCACAGACCAAAATGTATAATCTTTGTTACGAAAGTTATTGCGACATCATGAATAAATTGAAAATCTTTAATCGATTTAATTATATTATAAGACATTTATTCATAACGATATTTAATACATTTCTAACCCTTGCCAGGAGTCCCATAAGCAAACTACATGTAGTACATGTAGTTTGCTTATGTACATGTCATGTACATATAGGGGCTGTCCATACATATGTACATTACGTCATCAAACCTTCTCGATTTCAGCACCCACCCACCCAACGCATACATTGAAGGGTAGGGAATTTTAGCATGGGAAAGATAAATAGCAAGACCTAAACCACCCACCCACTAAAATTGATGAGGTAATGTATGCACGTTCCCATACGTATTTATGTAGTGCTTCATATGAATATTTAGTGCGGTCTCGAAATAGATTTAATACATAACCATTCCATTATTTTAAACCATGCTTCATTAAATCCGTGGCCATCCATCCATGGTCTCCCTTGGAGCAAAGGATCAAAAATATCGAAATATAAAAAATACCTATGTAGTTGGAGTTCAAAATGATATTCTTACATATATTTAAAGGACCCTTTTCAAGGGTTCATAAAATTCTTGGAAATTCCCATTAAGAAAATACCTCAAAGCAAGCCCCTAAAAATACAAATTTAGCCCCTCTTCTTTACCAATGTGGGATAGGAAGTTTTTAAAACTAACATTTCTTCTGAACATAAGCAGTTTTGTAACGATCAGTCACTTTTACCTGTTCATCTAGCTAACTCAAGTCTGGCTCAGGACGACACCGGACAAATTTAATATTTAGTCACCCAATAAAATAATACCGATCCACAAAAATGTTTAAACGATTAACCCTTTTGGTAGTTTTCTTCTTTGTGAAAGCACAAACCAAATGGGTCGGCTGGTCCGAGTGCCATCCTTGGCGACGTGTTTTGCAAGATTCGCCATTTTACACGACCTTACCCGTGGCCCGACTAGCCGGTGAGTATCGCGACATCACCCTGTTACCCTATCGCCGTTCGGACCTTGTAGCTTTTAGTGTCGCCCATGTCAAGATAAATACCACTTTTGGGGCCATCTTCCCCCAAAATGTGATCCCCATGGGGTACGAGTGGAAAGGTCAGGAGAAATGCTTGATTCGCAGTGCACAGTTTAAGTTTCCTTCCATTTCCCCATCCGATACGGCCCCATTTAGGGTGATGAATGTGTCCAGGGTCCACCTCTTGGTGAATGGGGATGGGGAAGAAGCCACGTTTTTTGAGGTGGGTGACTAATTTTTGTTGGAATATATTTAAACCAATTTTTAGCTGCTTCAAAAATACATGATTTAATAAAAATTATTAATCTGGTGAAATCGGCCTGCGCAATATGTAGACATACTTACATGTTCACATTTATTCATTTAATGATGAATGAATAAATTATTCATTTAATGATGAATGAATAAATTATTCATTTAATGATGAATGAATAAATTATTCATTCAATATTCAAAATTTGAATGAATATTTTATTCTGATTTTTGAATAAATGAATATTGAGTGAATATGTATCTGTTCAATTAGTGTGATTGAATAATGAATGAATATTTTCTCCATCACTCAATTTCTACAAATGCTTAATACACAGGGAAACTTGACAAATTCAATTTCTATTCAATTTCTATTATCTATTCAATTCGTGTGAATGAATATTTTTTCCAGTATTCATTTTCCAAAAATTCCTAATACATAGGGAAACTTGAGAAATTCATCTAATACTTTGAATTTTGAATACAATGAATAATGAAGGACTGGTTCAATAATACGAAGAGATATAAGAAGAATACGCAAATTTTTATTATTTTCACAATCTTTTTGTTATACATCGATTCATCTTTGCATGATTACTCCCCACTTCCCCCAGCGGCTACTATTGCAACGTCCATCCCAGCCCTGAACACGATCTGTAAGGTGACCCAGGTTCAGGGAACTACATACGTGGGGTCGCCACCCCTCATCCTGTGGGAGGTGGATGCAACCATTGTAAATTGTGACGTCCTTACCCTTCCTCCAATTTTTCAGGTGCACTACACTTCTGCGCCGAATTGGAAGTTCTGGACCACGTTGGGCCTCAAAACGTATTCAATGATGAAATCAATCTAAGGTAGGTATGCATGTTCAAAAAATATTTATTCAAAGTTCATTCATTCAGAGCCTTGAAAAAAAATTCATTCCTTATTCAACATTTATTCATTATTCACCATTCCTTCATTATTCATGTTATTCAAAATTCACAGTATTAGATGGATTTCCATGTGTATTTAAGCATTGAGTTAAAAATGAATGATGAAAAAAATGTGCATTAATTATTCATTCACACGAATTGAATAGATATTCACTCAATCTTTATTTATTTAAAAATCTGAATAAAAGATTCATTCAGATTTTGAATATTGAATGGATAAATTATTCATTCATCATTAAATGAATGAATTTGAACATGTAAATATGCTCTAAGGTGCGAGGAATACGATCCAAACTGAGCATTTTATTTTGTTACAGAGCATTAAATCTTGTCTCAAAACTTAACTTGTTTATCCATATCCAGCAACTAAGCTTCAAGAATAAAATTCCATTGTCACAAAAAACTTTGCGCGTGCTGATTACGGTCAGTTTTCAGACGGTCCAATCCTCTGTATCTTTATTGTCAATTAAAATCCATGGATGTTCAGAAAACCATTTGTCTTGGAAATTATAATTTAGGCCTCAATTAATGTATTGCTTGGAAATTTCCTGGCACGACCTCGTTAGGCTTGCCGATTGTACATATTAGTTGCAAACAAATTAAGTTTGGAATTTTCTTGTCCACTGATTTTTGTAATTAACCACATCGGTTTCATGATTTTAATTCCTAGCCTGATCGTTCTTTAGACATTGTAAATTTGACACATTTTCATTTTTTAGTATGATAGGTACATCCTCAATATCAGAAGCATTTCATCCGGTGATGTAATTAGTGTCTAATTAGTGTTCCGAATTTAAGCCCATGTACTAGGCTTCACAACTTACACAAACGGGAAATCCCCAAATTATACTAATGACCAAGAAAAATAAACAAAAACTCGTTTCTGAAAAGTGCACAAGAAATGCTTCGAGAAATTGCTGGTCCTTGAAGATGAAACTTTGGTCACATTTGACCCATCTAAATCTACGGGAACCAAGTTTTTCCGTGTATAAAATCATAATAAAGTGGATTATGAACAGAAATTGAAGAAAATAAGAAAATCTCTCGAAAATGTTTAACTTTTTTTAGCCAAGGATGAGCTTGGAAGTATTTTGGAACCCCACATATATGTAAGGGGGATTTATGACCACAACGTGTACGTTCAATAGTTTGTAAAAACACGATTATTACCCTTAATGAATAAGCATCATAAAACAGCTAATATCTTATTTTAGCCAGACATACCAACGCGCCAATATGCAACATAGTGACCAGCGACTTTGAGACGAAAAACGCTGAATATGCTCCCAAACAAATCAAGTAACCAAATGTTTTTCAACCTCGTGAGATTGGAAAGTTTGCATCTGCCTGCAAACAACAATACTTTCTTCGAGGTCAGGAAGCAAACAATTTGCAAAGTTTCAGACTAATTTGGCCAAAATTTTGAAAACTTTGGCGGAGAAAGTGGGAAATGAGCATATTTCTCGGGCTGCCATAAAAATTCGCTAAATCGGATACAAATAGATTAAGAAAGTCATAGCGTTACGACCTGCTAGAAACATTACGGATTCCGAATAAATTTGGAATTTTAGTTTGTACAAAGTATTTTTAATATTACATAGGTTTTAGTAAATTGAACCTATTTCCAGGACACCCTTTATCAGACAAAGTAAAAATAGCCTGGCAATAATTTTGGGGGCTGGTCACCGTCATTAACTAAAACCTGCAATTCTTTTGGCGCCCCAATGAAAAATTCGGCGATTGATTTACATACCCGCTTTGTCCTCATTATAAACGACGTAAAATATTATTTTACACTACCAAACTATTAGTTATTGAAAAAATTTTCAAACAATTTGAAACAATTTTCATAAGTACTCATTTACTTACTAATCCGAAATAAACGGCAAAATCAAAACGGACAAGCTCAAGCTGATTACATTCCCTGTGACTGACTCTCACTTTAAATAGATGAGGCATTTTAATTAAATATTTGTATGTACAGAATTCTTGAAGCTTTCAAATCAAGTTTGTTTTGGTATTAACTATTTAAGTAAAGCTAAAACAAGTTGTTGCTTGAAATCCATACTTAAAACTCCATTGGGACAAGTAAGCGACCAGCACGTTTGTTACATAATTATTATGATTTTATATACCAATATATCAACGTATTTTTGTGTACAATTCGTGTATACAAACGCATGGCTGGTATGTGTATGTGGCGTGTTTTTATAATGTGTCCAACAGGTTTTTACAAATATCGAACAAAAATAACTATGAATGTACATAATCATAATTGTGACTGTCTCAATGAAAAGGGACCTTGTTCACTAAATGTCTAATTTAGCGACTTTAATTTGTACAAGTATGTAACAATGTATGAAAGTTCTTGCCTTAGGCTTTAATTTGCCATTTATTTCAGCTAAATCTGTCAACTGCAAGTAACGTTATTTAAATTCAAAGTGCTGCATCGACAATATGGCAAAACGACTTTTTGGCGAAAATTTTCATCCTGATTAAATTTAGAACAATGTTTTAAAATTTAATATTGTAGCTCATATCGCGCTAATATTAGATTTACATATGCCAATACAAGCCTGAATGACGTTAAGTTTTAAATTTGAGGTTTATCGCCCGAGGTTAAGTGTTTAGGTCACGTTAAGGTCCTGAAAAAGGTCGAGGCGCAAATTTTAATTAGGTAAAGCAAGCCTGTACAATTGCCTGTTTTAAGTTTGAGGTGGAATGCTCAACATTAATGTTTATTTTGCCAATTCAGCTTTTTGACGAAATGGGTTTCGCTGAAAGTTCTCTGTTTTGGTATTTTGCCGTTTGTAGAAAATCAGCAAAGTATGAATAAGGTCCCTTTTCATGGAGACAGTCACAATTTTCAAATTCTAGTTTTATCTAGCGTTCTAGGATCAATTTTTTTTATATGCACTTGACCCCCACGTGGGGACAAATGCATTGACTGTCCCCACGGCAAAATTTCCGTGGGGACATTGTCCCCATGTCCCCACGCTTCCGCGGCCACTGGTAGTAAGACAATGAGATAGCAATATATTTTTGATATATCTTTGAATATAATATACTCCCTTGCACAGAACCTTAAAAACGTATTTGATACTGTGAATTGATGGTATACTTTTCACAAAGTTGACGGCGGCAAAGTAACTAGTGCTTGTAAATTTTGTCCAAATAAAGCGATTACCGGCACAACTAATGTCAGCTCTATTTACCACAGCCATCTCAAGGTAGTGCGTAATTTGTTTCAAATTTCAAAATAATCCTACATTTTAAATTCGGTGAACGACGACTTCTTGGAGGCATTAGCCATGCTCAAATGTTTTAAAATTAATTCATAAAAAGTTATGACCATGTCAAGCTTAATTATTCAGTAATTAGAAGTAATTAATTAGCTTATTAAAAATTAATTAGATTTGCTTGTTCAGAAGTAATTACTAATTAAAGAATTAATTAGATCAAAATCTTCGGAGCTAATTACTAATTGCTAATTTATTAGAAAAGTGGATAATTAGAAAGTCCTGATATAATTAAGCATAACTTTCAAACCAGTTAATACTTTACTTTAAAATTTTGCGTACAAGTCCTAATTACGAGCAATATAACATTTACCACACGTTTTCACCAGTTTTGAGCTACAAGTTTCCAAATGTATTTAGGAAAAATCAGGACAAATTAAATCAACTCCCTTTATCAAAACGCTCCTTATTTATCACCTCTCCTTTTGCCGTTAAAGCGACGCCCGCCCGGTCATTGCACGCTATCGAGGTGATCTCCTGGTAGCCATAGTGTTCCTTGGGGATCAAAATGGGCATCCAGTGACGACCCGAAGCGTGCCTATACCTTCCCTGAGGTGAACCCCATTGATGCACATCTCCACCCACACTTAGCCCCACGGTGCACGTCTTATTCCACCCGGGCAACGCGACTTGACGTATCTTGACGCCCGTCAGACTACCCGTGACGAGGACGGGGCTGCAAAACGAGGTCATTTTATTTGCCGCACTGCAAGAAACGTAGCGGCCTAATGGATCCACGATGTCGGCATCGAAGCCCTCGTAGCCGTCATCCTCAGCAGGCTCAATCCACCAGGAGAACAGGTGCCCGTCCTCCATTAGGGCAAAGTTGATTGATCCAGCTCCAGTAAAAAATTCTGTAAAAAAATATTTCAAAAATTTACTGTCAGAGAAGTCCCAAAGTTGTTAAACAGTATAATGCTACTTTTTAGATTTTTCACCCGCAAGATGTAACAATTTCTAACAATGCAATGGAGACGCAAATCATGTTTCGCCCAAATTATTTTTGGACAATCTCACTTTAAAATATCAACTCTTTCGGAATAACATTAAGTGTGACACTGGCGCAGATGTGTGCGAAAAATTTTGCAAGTTTTGTGCGCCACGCAAAATTCTGTTGGCCATCATTGCAAATAAGTCATGCATACTTTGAACTGAAATAATCTGGGCTGAACATGGTTTGCGCCCCATTTGTAAGTGGGCGAAAATTTGAGTCAAATTTAATTTGGAAAGGTGTCATTTTTCCGGGTAAATTTTACCGTGGAAACGTTGCATTGATCGCTAACCCGTGAAACTGTCAAATGTTGATGACGATTTCCATGAGCTATCAGCAGTAAAAAACGTCATATTTTATTTTACGGTTTTTGAGCTCAAAAACCTGTTCACCAGGATTGAACTATTCGATTTAATCAGTTTTTTAAATTTACATGACCCCCTACGTGTAATGGCATGAGCGAAAGCACTACCTTTTTTGACAAAACTTGCCGACTTTCTCCCTCGATTGTGAAGCAACCAGTAGGCCCACAGCGGGCAAACATAGACAATCCCCAGGGCATGCTTTAGGGTCGTTCGGAAGCGCTAGGTTCTATTCGTACTCTATGACCTTAAAATGACATGAGGTCAACTTACAAAGTTGACCCATTCATCACTATTCTTGCAATCGCTACTATTTCTTCAATCCTGGATAGATTTTCTTCATATTTGGTACAAACTGATCTAAATGGATTGTATTATCATATTCGTCAAAAATTTTGAACTTTTTCAAAGGTCAACAAATTTTGCGCACTAATGGAAAAGGTCAGTAGGCCAAGTCTCAGATAACCCCATGAGTGGGGTATCGTTAGAAAGGGCTTGGCGGGAGGATTCAGAATATATATACTTTATGGTGTCTGGGACCACACCCTGATATTATGGAGACCGATAAATATAATTTTTCCAGATTTTTACGTTAACACAGAAGCAGATTGAGGGCTAACATAGTAGTAGATTGCTGAAAACTCAATATTACTCATCGGTCTTTAGAAATCTAGGGTGTGTGGTCCCAGACACCATAAAGTATATATATTCTGAATCCTCCCGCCAAGCCCTTTCTAACGATACCCCACTTATGGGGTTATCTGAGACTTGGCCTACTGACCTTTAGTGCGCAAAATTTGTTGACCTTTGAAAAAGTTCAAAATTTTTGACGAATATGATAATACAATCCATTTAGATCAGTTTGTACCAAATATGAAGAAAATCTATCCAGGATTGAAGAAATAGTAGCGATTGCAAGAATAGTGATGAATGGGTCAACTTTGTAAGTTGACCTCATGTCATTTTAAGGTCATAGAGTACGAATAGAACCTAGCGCTTCCGAACGACCCTAAAGCATGCCCTGGGGATTGTCCATGTTTGCCCGCAGTGGGCCTTTTGGTTGCTTCACAACGAAGGGAGAAAGTTGACGAGTTTTGTCGAAAAAGGTAGTGCTGTCGCCCATGCCATTACACGTAG